TACCAGGCACCTTTAAAATAAACTCTTTCATTCGTACTGCACTCAATCTCCTAGTATGTGTGAGGTTGGAAGTGAGATTCATACTGTTGTTGTTGTTGTTTTTTTTTAATCTTTGCGGGTGTCCTTTGTGGATGATACGATTTAATAAGCCACAAGTTTGGAAAATAAACATTTTCTTTGGTAGTTTGTACTTGACATAGTGCAGATTGTTTTTGCAGTCCGCTGCAATTATGAGTGTAGTGACCGCTGGATGACTGCACTCTTGAGCAATAGCACACTGTTTCTCTGTTTCTCTCCTCCTTAAGTGTTCTTCTGCAAACTGGCCTTTCGGTCCTCTGGGGTGCTTGATGAGAGGTCTAATGACAGATGAATGTTCCTAGATCTTAGCATCCAGACCTTGGCTCTCATAGAGATAATCTGATTATCCCGGACACTAGAACTTTACATCAGTGGAAAATTAGAAGCTGGTATCCGTTTTTCCTCATCCTCTGTGTTCTCCAGTTATCTGGAGACACATAAGCAGCTTTGTTCCAAAAACTGGTGACCTGGTCATAAATTACTTATTTAAAACAATCTACATACTACAGGCTGAAGTAACTGCACCCCACCATTTCACTCCATGCTGGAGAATTGATTTTCAATTGATTTCAATGAAGTTTTCATGATGTGATTACTCTAAGCACAGTATGCTCAATTATTGGGTAAAATTATCCATATTGACATACTCTGAACTATTGTACTTATTGATTCTTTTCAGTGTTGAATGACATGTACACTATATCGTTTTTCTTTTAAAGAAATGTATACTTTTCTTTAGCAAAATTTCTATTTCATATATATATATATACTGTATATATATACTGTATTCATCAAAGAATTCTGAAAAAAATGTAGCATGGTTTCTACAAAAATATTAAGCAGCACAACTGTTTTCAACATTGATAATAATAATAAATATTTCTTGAGCAGCAGATCAGCCTATTAGAAAATGTTTTTAAGGATCATGTGACACTGAAGACTGGAGTAATGATGCTGAGAATTCTGCTTTAACATCACAGAACTAAATTGCTTTTTATTTTATTTATACTATATTACCATAGAAAAAAATAAATTCTAATCATATTTCACAAAATTATTGCTTTTACTATATTTTACATCAAATAAATGTGCACAAGAGACTTAAAAAAAAAAAAAAATCTTACCAACCCCAAACTTTTGAATGGTTGTGTAAATTTATGTTTATGACATTTTTGTTGTTTCATTTGCTTGATTTTATTTTTTATGTACTTACTTTCATGTTAGCTTATGATGTCTTGAGCTCATTAGGTCTGGAACAGAGCAGTAATGTTTCACCCAATTTGTAAAAACATTTTTCACCCCATTTTTTTCCTAGTGTTTCAGACACTTTTTCTTGGGAACATTTACAAAAGATTTCCTAAAGATTTTCTTAACATTGTAAAGTATTTATTTTCTCATTTCTTTATTTGGCTTTTTACTGAATAACACAGTGGATAACAACAGTGTAGCGATTCTTACCTCAAATAAAGGAATATAATTTTAATGACTGGTCAAGAATATGTCCAGTAATCGCATACATCGATTAAAATTTCCCGTAAAGGGAAAAGTGACTGCAACAAATTATAGTTTCAAAATTAGATCAATTGTATATATCAATAATCAATCACAACGAATTATAGGATGGATCGATTCCACACAGATTTTTCCAGTGACAGTCCAAACATGCAAACATACAGGAATATATTGTATTCTTTCCAGAATTAGGCAAATTATAAATTTCAATGGCAGTTTTAACGCAGACTCTGTGGTGCCAGAAGAGAGAGTTACGGATAAGAGTCAAAGGGTTAAAAGCATGCAAGAGTCAAACTGGCACAGTCCAGATACACTACAACAGGATAATATTGGATGACAAAGGGGGTCATGTTATTGGAATTGAGAAATTACAGTGGGTTGACTTGATTCAACACATCATGAACATGTGTTAAACACTGCAGTATTGTTTAAAGAATTTTGAAGGTAATTCCTGATTGTAGGGATTCCTTTTGGAATTACTGGATTCCCCTGTGATGCAGAATAACTCTAAAAGTACCTGCACCTTTTTTCAATTTTAGTCAGTCAACTTGTCATCCCAGTATATGTTAATGGTGAGGAAATAGAAACAATTATAATAATCCCACTTGAATATTAATAACTAAGCACATAAAGTTATTCTCAGCTAAGAGAATATATGTCTCTTTAGACTCTGCTGTGTCTCATTAATGAAAAAGGAAATGAATCAAATCTCTAATTCTCTTTTGTGGGAATCTTATTACAACATGACAAATAGTTGAAGGTGTCAACAAACACAAGAACAACAGCATAAATGCAAGCAGCGAAACAAAAACAGTAACACAGCTTTATTTATTCATGCCCCTACAGTGCTTACTCGATTACCCTATTTATCACACTATTATTATTCATTATTGTTTAGAAATGCTCACACACACACACACACACAAAATACAAAAAACATTTTTTGTGTGTGTGATTTTAGTTGGCAATGCCTATTCAAATGTATTTTTAGTTACACATTTTTTCCAAACATTACAGTGCCTGAGTTCTTCAGACTGCACACAATACAGTTGTTCTGCCTCAGTTGCAATAAATACATATTAATGCACATAGTATTTGATTGCTAACATGAAATTTATACTCCATCTAAAATGTTAATTGAGAAACGACTCAAAATATTTGAATGAAATATTTTAAAATAGATATATATATTTTTTTTAAAAACAACAACTAACAAATGAAGAAAAAACTGTCTCATAACAGGGCTGATTAGTAAAAAAGAAAGAAAAAAAGAAAATAATCATGGGCGTTATTCATATACCCCTGTACATTGTGCTTATGTTTTATTGCTTTTTACATTTAAAACTATTTTTTTAACATTTAAAAATAAATATATTGTTACATTTTTGGCTCATACAGTATATCTATTTATGAATTACAACTGTAAATACTCTTGGCATTCTCTCAACTTCTTGCTGTAAAAAATAGTTGGTTTATTTACTTAAAAAGTAAGTATCCTGGTTGCCTTACTACAGAGCCCCTAAAGCAGGACTGTATGGTAACTTTTTTTGCACATAACACTGGTGCTACAGAGCAGTTTTGTAGCACAGGTCAAACAGGTATCCACAAGTTTCCTACGCCCCATGAGGCCTTGCGTCAAATGTGGGTGCGACTTCCGGTTTGAAGTAAACAAAGCGCGATTTGACATGCTTGACACTCGTTCATTCAACAGTTGACAGTCATTCAAGTTATAGCGATCCAAACTAGCTAACGATGTGGGAACACAACCTCAACGCAATTCAAAAGGGTGAAATAACAGTACCTTTACCCTCCGCGGTAGTTGATTGGGAGTATTATAATAACATTATTAATAATCAGTACTCATCAAGGCATGGTGACAGACAGTTGTGCGAGCTGACAAACAATTAAAATAAAAAAATACACACTTAGTCATTGATGTGCTTTGGAGTTTATTCAAAATTATAAATATGTGCTACTTGAATACATTAACTGGCACATTTGGTATTCTGTCAACACAGGTTTTGATCCTGAGTTTAGGTGTAACATCAGTAGCGAACAGCCAATCACATGCTGATAGAGTTTATAGAATATTAAGAATTTAAACAAATGTACACAGGATGATTCGTCGTCTTTTGGGAGGTGATGGAAACTACAGTCGTTGGCAGTATCACTCTGATTTCGTTTTCAGCTTATATTCAAAACAATCACGTTTAAGCCACTGAATTAGTTTAGTCCGGTTATACGTACAACCGCGAACAGCACATGTTGTCCCTGAGCTCCGTAACGACATCTCTCATAAAGATTTGCGTCTTTAAATAGTAAAATAATTCTCCGAAAAACAGATAGCCTCTTCGCTAACTAACATAAAAAAAAACCATTGGAATGCTACTTCCGCCGCCTCACCGGAAGTTTCACCCTCTTTATTTTCACCCAAGGCATTTTTGTATATCTGTACTTCCTGGGTTCTTCCCACCGGAGCCTCGCTTTCGATTTCAAAATGACGGCTGCGTGAAATCAGCGTATCAGGCCATGAGCTACTGGTAGCTCGCGAGTGACGTATTGGAGACCCCTGCTCTAAAACAGTGTGAGTGTGTCATTTTGAGCTCGTAATATGTTTCCAACAAGTTGATTAAAAAGGTTTGCTTTGATTTGTGCAAGACACTATACATGTGTAGAAAGAATTCAATAAGACGGGGAGACATGACCTCAAAAATAACAATTAAACTATTCATTTTCTTCTGTGTGGGCCTGTGAGTGAGTTCACGAGAGCGCCACGACGCATGCGCGGGAAAAAAATCTTGTCTCTGCAAATTTGGCTCTGACAGCTTTACGCTCTTGCCAAAAATCAATTTAAAAGCTAAAGCAAGAGGGATAAAGGGACAGAGGTAGGCACTATGAGCTGGTTGCTGTAGAAACATCTGTGTAAGAGAGTGGAGGGGGTTTGAGATCTGTATGTGTGTGCTGAATCAGCACTCTCCTTGATCCCTTAACAATTACAAGACGATATGTGAGAGCAATTTGCAAATAAATGACCACTAGGAGAAATCTTGTTTTTGCATTCCTCATAAACGCTTTGTGAATGGCCTATTGCTGCATAGTGAAACTCCACTCACTAGTCTAGAAGGATTTTCTTCACAGAGAGATGACCAGTAGAGCAGATTGCTTTTCATTTCCTTTTTTTACACTGAAAAAGACTATGGCATCTCACCCAAAAACCAATTACCCGGACAATACAAAAGATTACAGCTGTATAGATATGGATGTGCTATCATGAAATTTGTTGAAGAGATTATTAGAGGGGCTGTTAGTGAACCGCGAGAACTCCCGCAGGTTCTTGCACTGATGTTTTATTCTCTCTGTACCTGTGCTTCTTCTCAGTTCCTACTTCCATAACTTGTGTCTCATTGCAGGCCAACGATGCTTCAGGGAACTTCTGGAACTGGCTCTACTTCATCCCACTCATCATCATTGGCTCTTTCTTCATGCTCAACTTGGTTCTGGGGGTGCTGTCAGGGTGAGTCTGAAATCAGAGACATTAGTGTGTGGGAGTGCCTTGTCCGAGGTTGCTATAAAGATGACATTTGTCTGTCTGTCTATCTGTCTATCATCTTGAATTCAGTAACTTAATTTGTAGAATTATTCACAAAATTCAAATAGTTCAAATTGAATTAATTGAATTTCAAAGGAATTCAACTGCTGTCAGTGTTTTTAAGTTTTTAATAATATTTATTTCAATTTCCAGTATGAACTGGCCACATATTATACAACATATGGGTTATTTCCTGAAACATAATGGGCCCTATTTTAACGATTTAAGCGCATGGTCTACAGCTTTCTATGGTACAAAGTGTACACTTACGGAGTTACCCCTATAGGCTCACATTACCAACGCACTCTTTAAATAGCAAAAATAAATTGCGCGTCTATTTCAGTTGCCTCAAAATAGCAACGGACTAACAATGAGCCCACACACACCTCGATTTCATGGCGCACAAATGGGCGCAAATTAATTAGCTATTTAAACAATGTGGCGCAGGACATGGAAATTATATCTGCGTCGGGCTGAAATTAGCAAAAAACACTTGCACTAGGCTGCCTTGCATTGCATATTCTGGCACTGCATTGCAAAGGGTGTATGATAGGGCCATAGGTGGTACAGTATAACTATTTAAAAATAATCAGAATTAATTATTATTTTTAAAATCATAAGACCTGTATTCAACTACTGAAATTCTTCTGTTGTGTTGAATTTCTTTGAATGGCAATTATTAAAGTCTATTTCCTGTAATTTGCACTTGGTCAATTCAATTCAAATTTCAGTTCATGAGTTGAAAGGACCCTGGCTTGCGGTTTTATTATATGATATCCATTGGACACATGTCTCTATGGAGGTGGATGGATAACCTGCTTAATGAATCATCTACAATCAGAATGCATTCAACTTGATTGGCTGCAAACATGCATCTACAAATGTACAAATACAAAGTATGCAGTAACCATTTAAACCTTCATATCGGAAGCAAACAAACGGTGTTCTTTTTAAAGGGATGCCTCTTATACAGTAGCTATTTGGTGGGCTTATTGTTCCTAAACCATTGAACGCCCCATAAAATAATATCTGTCCTACTGTTTGGAATCTATTCACCTATAGCTTTTGCATGTACAGAGTAGATGTAATGTTAAGTGCAGTAGAGCCCTGCTTCTCAATTTGATTAGGAAGCTCTATTTTGCCAATGTATTGTTGGTCACAATTAGGTTTTCCCCCCATCAATTGTGATCGAGCCAAAAGCCACATACACTCTCTATAAAACAAATAACACACGCTCACACTAAAGCATCTTTATTTTTTCCACATGCTTTACCTCTCTTGCTCGCTTTCTCTCACTCTCTATTTGCCTCTTTCTCTCTCACTCACACACTTAAACCCATTGTTTTAATGGAAGGTCTCTTGATGAATGCTTTGTGGTGAACTGTTGCTGCTGGTGGGATTAGAATTGATGATTTCCTGCAAATACTCAATCTAATGTTTATTTGTTGGCTCTTCACGTCTGTGTTGCTGTCGTGTGGCATTAGATATGTATTGTTACTCCTTCAACGCGACTCTAACTTTATTTGACACTTTTGTTAGGCTTTAGGGGCTGTTTACACGACACCGTTTTCAACTTAGGCCCCGTTTACATGAAGGGAAAACGCAGATATTTCCCTGCGGATTGGCCTCTCGTTTACACGAAAACCCCGTTTTTATCACAGAAAACGATTATTTCTAAAAACTCTGGCCAAAGTGGAGATTTCTGAAAACGCCGGTTATGTTTTAGGTTCTCTCTTGTCGATTCTGAGGATTCTGATTGGCTTGCATGGCTTTATTTTTCTCCCTACACTGCCGCCAATAGGTTTGGCATAGATATGATGGGGCTCAACGGCGTATTTATGCGGGTGTGTGAACGATGTTATTTTTGAAAACGGAGAGGGGGAAAATATTTGTTTCGCTAAATACCCGGCTTTGTGTAAACGTGGCCTAAAAACGTACATTTCTTTATGCGTTTATACAACAACAGTGTTTTGGGTGGCTAAAAACGTAAACTTTTGAAAACGGGTTTCGAAGTACACGTTTTTGAAAACAATCTCAGTGTCAACAACAAAAATGCAAATCTGAAAACGATGATGTCATGCACATGGATATTACTTGTTCAGTCTACAGTGTTTCATTGCATCTAGTGGCCTGGCAGCAGAATACAGCGATTTTCGTCGTTACATAGATCTGTGTGAATGAGGATCGGAAAACGGCTCCGCTTTAAGCATATCGTTGTCGTGTAAACATACCCTTAGTTGACAGATTCATTCTCATGTGGTGGTGCTCTCTCTCTCTCTCTCTCTCTCTCTCTCTCTCTCTCTCTCTCTCTCTCTCTCTCTCTCTCTCTCTCTCTCTCTCTCTCTCTCTCTCTCTCTCTCTCTCTCTCTCTTTGTGTGAATCTCCTGTTTTTGTTCCATGTGTGTACAGAAAATAGGATTCACTCCTAAACTTACAATGGCTTCATTGGATAAATACAATTATTATAATTTTTAATGGAAAAAAAATTGCTAAAATTTTTAAATTAAAGTAAACACCAATCTTGGTTCACAGGTCTTATCCAGTTAGTTTTCAAATTAAATTAAAATGTTCACATTTATTTCAAAAAATTTTGTCCTTGAATGTACTGTGCACATCAATATTTTCTGGCAGTAGTAACTATAAAAAAAATAAACTTAAGCCAATCCTCTCAAGAATGTGTCTTTGGGGGTCTGTTTCACCTTTAAAGCTTTAAATGAATACATTTCACACTGTGAGAGTGGTGACTGATAAGATTACTTGAAGGACACGAGAGCATGAAAATTAAGAAAGGGAGAGAGAGAGAGAGGATGTGGGGAGGAATGAGCATTGAGGGAAACAGTGGCAAGTTTGGTTATTTACTGGAGCGACAACTGCATTGCACAAACAAAGAAGAACAGATTTTTTCAATCTCATATGTGTCTCCACAAGAATTTCAAGTGTCTCAAACTATGTTCAGATACAAAAGTCTGCAATTAAATTTGTCATGATTTCATACTAAAATCTTACTGTATGTAAACACTTATGTTACTGTTACATCAAAAAGTTTGGGGTAGGTAAGATTTTGTAATGTTTTTTAGCCATCTTTGGACAAGTCGATCCACGAACGCCGTGCCAAGTGAGATGAACTGTATGAAGTGTTTCGACTGGTTGAGACGGCTAAAGATGGCTCCTGCCTGTATACGCGAAGTGGCCTGTCTGTATAAAATATCTTCTTATTAAAGAGATACTCCACTTTTTTTGGAAATAGGCTCATTTTACCACTCCCCCAGAGTTAAACAGTTGGGATTTACCGTTTTCGAATCCATTCAGCCGATTTTTTGATATTTAGAAGAATATCAGTAACCAGACAGTTTCTGGTCTCATTGACTTCCATAGTAAATTTTTTCCTACTATAGAAGTCAATGAGACCAGAAACTGTCTGGTTACTGATATTCTTCTAAATATCAGAAAATCGGCTGAATGGATTTGAAAATGGTAAAACTCAAATGTTTAACTCTGGTATCCCTTTAAACTGTCTGTACACTTACAAAGTTCAGTTTGCATGTAGGGACCCTCATTATGTTACGGTGTTAATGTGGGGTTATTTTGAGCCTTGTGTTAGCGGTATTAACTAGTGATTTTTATTTTTCATTACTCTATGCCCCATATACTAACATTATACGTTAAACAGTTTTTAGAGATAAAACTCTTTACATTTGATTGTCATGAAAACAAATTTCATCGGTCTTGAATGGTCGACAAGGTACCAATCTGTTATTAGACCAAAGGTTTATTTTGCGCCGGAGTTGTCCTTTATTAAGTACATTTTACTTACTTCCAAACATGTGAAATTTACTTTAAAAATCTTTGAGAATAAACTTCAAGGCAGGATGGAATGCTGGATTAATATTTTATTTTATTTATTTATTTAACAGGGACAATGTAGAATATATGAAGAGTTCAGATGCAAAAGCCTTTAAATGCCATTTGAAATTTTCTTCTTTAATGATGATTTTTATCAAACTTGTATATTTAAGTTCAGTAATTTCACTTAAATAACAATTAATAGGTAATTATCATTGCCATTTAAGTGAAATTACTGAACTTAAATATACAAGTTTGATAAAAATCATCATTAAAGAAGAAAATTTCAAATGGCATTTAGAGGCTTTTGCATCTGAACTCTTCATATGTACTGTACCAGATTTAGCTAAAAGCGAATTCCCATCTGCATGGTGTTGCTTTTCAAATGAGTGGATAAACAGATGACAGTTAACAATATCAAAACTTGCACTCAGATCTAATTTATTATATTGGGGTATAGATGAATGATATTGTGTACCATACTATTTTTTTAGCAATATTGATCAATATTTCATATTTTAATTTTGCATCGTCACTTCTCCCATTTTTCCTCTTAGATTACCTTTGCTGTCAAATTATAACTCTGTGATGCCTAATTTCACTAAAATCAGGCAAATATAATTTTAATATCAACAATTCATTGGTTATCTACAGGGTGAAGTTGTACTTTCACTGGTACTTACAATCTTTAATAGGGCTGCTCAAACAGTTAAGATCAAAAAGCCATTTTGAGGTGAAAGAGATCTAGATGAAATGGCTATGAATTAGCTTCTTGTAGGATCCCTGCTGCCCAACAACCCACTGAGAAGATGATCTAGCTGTCCACCTCTCCTTAAACTACCACCCCAGGGCAGTCCTCTCATCTCTCCATGAGGCCTCAGAACGACCTTTTGTTTTGAAAGCAGCGTGGTCAGACAGGTGAACTGACCTCCCAGGCCTCGGACACACACACACACACACACACACACAACATTGAGAGACACAGTATGCACCATGGCAACCAGAGCATCAAACGAGGACTTACACTGCCCCCAAAATACACCAATATTTCAAACACACTTAGGGCCCTATCTTGCAGCCAGCGCAATTGACTCTGTACACCGATGCATGCATCATTCGTATTTTGCACCCATGCAAAGCAGACTTTTCCCTTCACAGACCCATGCTGGCAAACTAGGGAATGAACTTGTGCTCCATGGGCGGGTCAGCGCCCAAAAAAAGGAGGCGTGTTCCAGCACAAACAATCCCTGGTGCTATTTTGCAGTTTCAGAAAACAATCCTCACCCCTGCTCACATGCCCTATTTCCTTGGTTAAAATTTCAATTTTCTCTCAATTTACAAATAGTTGGCAACATTTACAAGCTTGAATAGAGTACTAATATAGATATTACTTTTTTTCATTCTTGCCTGACATTACATTTGCTAGTGTTTTTTACCCCTTATTCATTGTTATCAGTGTATGGATATGTTTAAAAGCTTGTTTAGAGACTTTTGAGGAGATTTGTTGTATAACACTTTTAAATGAGTATTTCTAACCAAATAAACACATGCTGACGTACAGATATGTATCTAGCCATTTCTGTGCATCTGCCTCTGTGGGTTTTCAGTATTTGTGTGTGTATACAAACTAGTCGAGTTTCTTCCACGAGGAAGATGTTGCTTTTCTGCCGAGACAGAACTACAATTGATTAGAGTCTGTTTATACATTATGGATTCGTGTGAGTATTAGCATTTGTTTGAGTGTGTGTGTGTGTGTGTGTGTGTGTCAGAGAAAAAGAGAGAAATACTGTAGGTGCCGCAGGGTTAGTATTCCCCCTTGTCTGTCACACACTCACAAACAAATACACACATACACACACACACACACACTCACTGTCATGTCATACTGCCACTGCAATGCAGGGAGGGGAGAAGAAAAGGCTTTCTCCACATTGTAATATGGGAATCCTATTGAAAACATACTATTAATAAAAGTGCTAGTGTGCTAGTGACCAGCGCAGATTAGGTCGACTCCCCTTTTTTTTTTTTTTTTTATAAAATGGGATATTATTTTTGGGCCCCATTGACTTTAATGAACTAACATTGAAACATTTTTCAAAATATCCTCTTTTGTGTTTCATAGTTTTGAAACACTGATAGAGAGACCTTGAAGTTGTCTTCCAATTACTGGTTTTACAGTAGTGTTCTTACTGTTCCTATGCATTCTATAATTTTTACATTATATTACATTTTATATGTTTTATATATGTATATTACATTATATATGTTTTATATTTCCTGCTTTGGCTAAATGGGGATTGCCTTAAAGAGAGAGAGTACTGGATGGGAGCACTTATTTGAACTATTTATGGAAATGTTGTGCAAATGTAGGTGTAGGTTTTATCTATCCTATTTATTGACTTATTTTAACTCTTGTTGCTAATCATCTTGTGTATCCATTTATTAATCATATGGTGAGGCATATGTGTGGATTTAAGGCAGCCAATGTGCTTTCTTTTCTACTGGAGAACGTCTTGTGCTGTCATGTTAGTAATGACACCAGTGTGTTTTAAATCAATTGAGGAAGGGTGGATTGGAGGATGGATCATGGTTTTTGAGGGAATTTGAACAAGGTTATTTAGCGCACTGAAACTTTGGCCTTAGATGGAGTTTTTAAACTGTTTTATTTATAATCTGTTTTATTTCCCTTAACCATATTTATTTACACATTTTTGCACATCTGCTTGTATTAAACATATTTTTGGATGCTAACATCGGCCTGTTTTTACTTGGTGTGATTCTCCATGTGGTGCTCTGGTCCCTATCACATTATATCATGATTGTTGTATGTTTTTTTTTCTTTTTTAATATTCACATTCTGTGCTCCGATCACATTATCGAGCATGAAGTAAAATCTTAATTCCAGAAGCATCACGTCCCTCACATTCTGTCCACCCTACTTTCTTTGCATGTATAGCGTTTTAACTTCCTCTCTGTACACACTGTGAATACCTGTGTGGCGAGCAGGAGAAGGTCGAGGGACCTGAGAGAGCGGCGCGAGGCCGGTGGCGTGATTAATGAAGGACGATACCTGTGAGACGCACCGCTCTCGTATCTCCACTGTCGTCGCTCCTCCTTTATGCTTCCGTTCCTCCGTGAGAGATAAGAGACCGGTGCGTCTCACAGGTGTCGTTCATCATTTATCACGCCACCGGCCTCGCAACGCTCTCTCAAGTCCCTCGACCTCGCCTGCTCGCCACAACCACAACCTGAGGTAGGTTGTGAGGGGGCACAAACAGTTTTTTTTTTTTTTATCCCTTAGTGCTTCTCCATAATCATGTTGCAGAGAAAGCTATAATGTTTATGAAAATGAATGGGACTCGTTTAATTACCGAGTCAGGCTAAAGTATGACTCTCACTGGCAATGCATGGGCATTTCTCTGTACAGTAAATATACTTTTTGTAAGCTATATCTAATGTTCTAATGTTTAATGTTATCACAGTTTTGCCATACTGTGGAATGACCGTTAGAGAATAGACAGATGAGAAAAACTATTTAGGCCTGTAAGTGCATTAAAGAGAAACATTGATTGACCCCTGCAGCATTGCTATCATTAATTAGAATGAATTAATTCGATTGGTTTGATCACCTGGTTTTAACTGGAAATGATGATTTTTTATGTATCTATATAAATAGTTATTTATATAATTTCAGTTCTGCTAAAAGTTTGAGGTCAATAGGATTTTTTCAGGTGAAAAAAAAATGGATACTTTTGTTCAGAGTTTTATTCAGGGTGATGAGGACTTCCAGAAGGGGTTTTATTTTGAAAGAACAACCGGCTGGATGTACATTATCCCACTTAATACACAGCTACCTGCCACATAAGTAAATAATTAGAAACAGAATATTAATCTGAATTGAAATATTTTATTTGGTCTTTAAATGCAAAACTTCAGCGGAGAGAGCAGTTGCTTGCACGGCAAGTTCAAACTAACTTTACATTTAAGAGATACAGTCATACCACTCATTATGCAGCATTTCACCACATAAATAATTATGGATATAAGAGATATTGAATTCAGATTAAACTGTTTTAAAATAAAACCTGTTTGTATCTCAATGGCAGCAGTTGCATTTGTATGAAACAAGAGGGAGCTAGTTCATGATACTTGATGGCGTAATTAAATAACTGTACACAAAATATTGATTTGACTGAGTTTTAATATTTTATTAGCTCAACAAATGTAAAACTTCCACCGTTCCACAAAGGAAAAATGTTCCTAGCTGCTGTCTTCAGTATATTATAAAAATGGCTTACTTATCTGACTGTGTATTAAGTTGACATAAGAGAAAGAATTTTGGCTTTTAAAAACAAATTGCACACTTCAGCTAAAGTGAGGCATGACCCGTAGACTTTTAGCTGTTGTTTATTGATTCTAAAACATTGATTTTTTTTTTTCATATTATTTGTTCTTGCAAGTATTTGCTCTGTTTTCTAATGTTTCATTTTGTTGCATTTCTCTCATTAATTTTTATTTCTCAACCATGAACCTTGTGATGATCAATAGGGTCTTTTGTTAAATCACTATATTATGAGATTTCACACTTTAATAAGCACACACACTCATACTCGTACGTAACCTGTGCGTAGAACAGGGCTCCCCTGATACCTCTGTGCAGTACAGTGTGTTCATGGATTTGTATGTATGTGTATTTTTTTCCCCACAGGGAGTTTGCAAAGGAGCGAGAGCGTGTGGAGAAAAGGCAGGAGTTCCTGAAGCTCCGCAGACAACAGCAGATAGAGAGGGAACTGACCGGTTACTTGGAGTGGATCTGCAAGGCAGGTCAGTCTCTAAAAATGAACAATATCTCCATTAACACTTATAATAATCGCCACTGTACCAAAGTCATTCATGTGTTTTTCAAGAATGTTCTATATCATTCAACAACCAGAAGGCATCAGTCAGTTCTCTAGAGAGCATTTTGTTCCCTTGTGTTTTCCCTCCCTTGACGGTTCATCTCACTCACTTCCCGGATCTCTGTTCAGCCGCAATGGGAACTGATGTATCTGTGCCTGTCTGTTGCTCAGCACTTCCTCTCTCCATGGCAACCAAATAGCCTTCCTCTCACTTCACCAGCTGGTTCATACCCTCAGTCTTCCCATGACTGCATGTAACAGCTCTTTCATCAGCTGCTTCACTTCAGCAGTCTTGGAGCTTTCTTTGTTTGAAGATTTGCACTGATCTGGGGCCAGTTTAGTAATGGTCTTCTTTAACATGTTTCACACATTCCGAGCACACAATTTCACCATTTTTACTCCGTACTTGCTGCATCCCTGAAACTGCAGTAAAGACGTGTGCGTGAAATTAACGTGAGATTGAGATTGAGCGTGAGTGAGTTATGGGAATTATGTGAGAGTGAACACTCTTTATCCATGTAGATGCACATGTAGGATGTGTGATAGAGTCCTCAGCCTGTGGCATTATGACAAATTATCATAAAAAAAATGAATTTGTAAAAACATGGATGACAGGATTTTTCTAAAGTTTAGAAAGTTTTAGCTCTGTAAATGTTGTTGTTATAGTTCTGTAGTTATCATCCATTATCTAATACTGTAGTTCCTAGTTTAGGATGGCATAGTTTCTTGTAAAACTTCTGATCTTCCACCAGCTCAGGAGTTAATAAGCTCTGTCACAGCATGTGGTATCCTCTCCTTGTTTCCCAGAAGCCCACTAGAGCTTTTCCATGGGGATTTAACTGCTTGGAGAGGGGATTTCTCAAACTCCTCCATGGTGGCCCTGGCTGTAATGTTTTAACACCATAAAATCATGATGGAATTAACCGCTTGCATGTGCTTTGTCATGTATTTATCTAGCCAGCCATTATAGTCGGTTAGATCTTCACTGCAACGTTAATGTGTTGGGCGATGCGGTGCTCACTGGTGTCCGTGCCTCCTGCTGGATGTTAGTCAGATCTGCAATGACGGCAGTGATTACTGTGTGTGGCACCAGGTTACAAAAAGTCTTCTAGTGGTCGATTTTGTCTACTTTTCACTCTGTTTATCCACCTATAATCCAACCACAACACAGAACAGCAAAGATCACAGTATAGTGTGTGAGAGTAGTAAAATATATTCTTTGTCTCAGAGGAAGTCATGCTTGCTGAAGAAGATAAAAATGCAGAAGAGAAGGAGGATAGTGCCTGGTACAAGAGGAAATGCAACAACCCAGGTAATCATTGAAAAATTAATTATTACATATATGTGAATAGCTTAGAGCAGAATAGCTTACGTTTTAAATACTACTAATAAATAATAATAAACAACCTTATTTCTATAGTCCACTCTAGATATTATCTAGAATTATATACCTAATTCAATAGAGTATTAGTTGACTGTTCGGATTAGGATTAGGGTTAGAATTGTTGACAGTTGACGTATACTTAAAGTTACTTATATTCAGTAGAATATCTGTTGGGGAACCATTAAAATAAAGTCTTAGCAGCAGATAGTAAGCAGGCAGTCTACTAATACTCTGACTGGTCTTTGACATGCAGTTGCAAAATTACATATAGTTAGTTGAATGTTCTAATAATATATTATTATAATTGATACTACTACTGTTTATTCACTTGCTTTCCACCATTTTTTAGTGTTGAAAATAGCCAAGAAGAGCAAAAATGACCTCATTAATGCAGAAGAAGGAGAGGACCACTTCACTGACATCTCATCGGTTGGTAAGTTCCAGGCCCGATGCCTGTGACCTCTGAACTCTTGTTTGACATTCTCCCAAAATCAATGTGAAAAAAGCTGATTCAAACCAAATCATTATACCATAAAACTCACATCAGTGATGTTTTCATAAAAAAGAGAGGGATAATGAATGAATAATGGATAGATAGATAGATAGATAGATAGATAGATAGATAGATAGATAGATAGATAGATAGATAGACAGACAGATAGATAGATAGATAGATAGATAGATAGATAGACAGACAGACAGACAGACAGACAGACAGATAGATAGATAGATAGATAGATAGATAGATAGATAGATAGATAGATAGATAGATAGATAGATAGATAGATAGATAGATAGATAGATAGATAGATAGATAGATAGAAACCCTCTCGTCTCCATCATCTGTGAGCTGTTGTGAACATCTGAAACAGTCTCTCTCTCTCTCTCTCTCTTTCCCCCTCTATCCCTCTCTCTCCACAGCTCCCCAAGGCTCTCCATTTACCCGTACAAGTGTGAAGAGCAGCAAGAATGATAGCTCTTCGTACTTTCGCAGAAAAGAGAAGAGGTTTCGCTTCTTCATCCGACGTATGGTGAAGGCCCAGAGCTTCTACTGGACCGTTCTGTGTATAGTGGGACTGAACACACTGTGTGTGGCTATAGTCCATTACGACCAGCCCGACTGGCTCACATATGCACTGTGTAAGTGAATTGCATCTTTTAAACATTACTGCAGCTCTCTGGAGAATCACAGGTTTATGTGAACTATATTTGGCTTAGGTGCATTAGGAGCAATTTATAAAACCTTAATAGAAATCAATGCAAAATGAGGGCTATGCTCCTTCTATTTGCATTATTAATTGTTCAACTTATCTTACGATTTGACTCAAATTAGCTTTAGTTTTTAGCCTTTGAATTTGACAAAACTGAGCCTGTTGTTGTGACTGGGCTATGTTTCTTAAAGCACAACTGAAGTTAAGGTGAAGCCTTGAAACATGCAGCGTTATCAATATTCTGATGCATTTTACCCTGAAACAGGGAAACATGGCAGGACATATCATGCAGCTCCTCCCCCTTTTAAAATATCCAATCAGCCATTGAGCTTGCTAGAGCCGCATTTGCTGCAACTTCAATTTTTAATTCATGGGGACTTTAAAGGTTCACCCAAAAATGAAAATTAGCCCATGATTTACTTAACCTGGACCCATCCTAGGTGTATTTGGCATTCTTCTTTTCAGACTAATACAATCGGAGTTCATTAAAAAATGTCCTGGCTCTTCCAAGCTTTGTAATGGGATTGAATGGGCACTATTTTTTGAAGTCCATACAAGTGCATCATATCCATCATAAAAGTGTCCCAAACAGCTCGAGGGGTTAATAAAGGCCGTCTGTAGCAAAGTGATGCGATAGATTTTAGTCTATAAAGTTTTAAATATGGACATTTTTCTTACACCAATGCATCGCTTCACTTCAGAAGGTGTTTGAGCTGTTGTGATGCACTTGTATGGACTTCAAAAAACAGTGCCCATTCACTTCCATTATTTTGCTTGGAACATTTGGCCAGGACATTTTTTTAATAGGGCTCTGATTGTATTCGTCTGAAAAGAAGAATGTCATATACACCTAGAATAGCTTCAGGGTGAGTAAATCATCATAAACTAAACATAAACGTAAATCATGGGACGAGGCCGTTAGCGTGATTAATGATGAGCAACACCGGCCCTCTTGCGGCCCTCTGCCTTGCACTGTCCTGCTCGCCACAGTTATATTCTGCGTTTATTGAAGTTTTTCCAGATTATTCATTCTGCATCATGCATCGTCTGTTGGATTGCTTACAATACTGTATGTACAATACTGTACAGTATTCTACACTGTTACAATAAAAACTAGGTACAGTATAAGCATTTTGGTATCATGATATTTTTCATTTTAGACGCAAAGACAAGTTCAGTGTGAACGGCCCCATAATGATCTTATATTAATGATAAGCGATGTGACTGACAAAGTCCTTTGTTAAATGTATTCTTTTTTATATAGATTTGGCGGAGTTTGTGTTCCTTGGTCTGTTTCTAATAGAGATGAGTCTGAAGATGTATGGCCTCGGGCCCAGGACCTACTTTCACTCCTCATTTAACTGCTTTGACTTTGGGGTGAGTAATCTGCCATCAAATACAAAAAATATGTGGGACCCACTACGTGTTCCTTTTTCAGTCAGTGCCAGGGTTTCTGGCACCAAGACAATTCTTGTGGGGTTTTTTTTCGTCCTGGGTCTCTTCCTGCTTACAGTACGTTATGCTGGCATAGGCTCCGGCATCCACATGACCCTAAATAGGACAAGCGGTTTAGAGAATGAATGGATAAATTAATAGTATTGCTTAAATGCTTTATTTTCTGTTTTTGTTATTTTTTTAGGTCATTGTGGGTAGCATTTTCGAGGTGATCTGGGCTGCTGTTAAACCAGGAGCCTCTTTTGGCATTAGTGTGTTGCGAGCACTGCGTTTGCTGAGGATATTCAAGGTTACCAAGTAAGAGATCGTAATTCCCTGTGTTTATCTGTGGTGCTCTGCAGATCAATGGCCTAAATTGATCATATTTATACCAAGCCATGGTTGAATGCTTGATTCTGATTGGTTCATAGTTTCAAATTAAAGGATTATTTCACTTCAAAATAAAATTTAGCCCATGATATACTCACCCTCAAGCCATCCTTGGTGTATATGACTTTCTTCTCTCAGACGAAAACAATCGGAGTTATAATAAAATTTACTCTTATTATTTACTCTTTCAAGTTTTTAATGGCAGTGGATTTCAACCAACAGATTGAAGCTCAACAACGTGCATGTATCCATCGTAAACAAACTCCAAACAGCTCCTGTGGTTTAATAAAAGCCCACCGAAGCAAAACAATGAGTTTGTGTAAGAAAAATATGAATATTTAATAAGTTACAAAGTAAAATTCTAGCTTCCGGCCAAGCGGCCATACACAGTTTACTTGCCCATAATGCGCATTGAATGAAATGTATGATGTCAGAAGTAGCGTAGTGCGTCATGACTTAGCGTAAATATCAGCAGTACGTTGCATTACTCGCATAAGTTGCGCTTTAGATTTGTGATTTTCATTTGGCCGGAAGCTAATTATTTTACTTTTTAAAGTTTTAAGCTCAACACAAACTTAACGTTTTGCTTCAAAATGCCTTTATTAACCCACCCACAGGAGCTGTTTGGAGTTTGTTTATGATGGATGAAGGCACGTTTTTGAGCTTCAATCTGTTGGTTGCAATCCGCTGCCATTCTAAAACTTGGAAGCCCCAGGATATTTTTTAATATTACTCTGATGGAGCATGGTGCAGAGCAGGTGGAGTCTTTATACCTAAATTGGTGATATCGTGGGACAGGTACAGCATGGAAGAGGGGGTTTGGGCTTAGTGTAGCTCCTCCTAAATGCCACAAGGCAGGCCCAGCTCAAAGGAGTAAGCTGGTAGTCAATGAGATGCGAAAGCAGGAGGAGAGGGTGAGATGTATAAAGGCCATTTCCCAGGCCAAGCAGGGAGAGTGGATGAAATGGGAGAGTGTGGAACAAAGCAAGATGGGCTGGCAAGACCTTTGGTCAATGGGAAGAGAGTAGGATCAGTTTCCTTATCAGGTCAACATATGATGTTCTCCCATCACCATAGAACCTAAACCTCTGGGTAGGAGAGGATCCCTCTTGTCCTTTGTGTTCATCACCTGCCACATTAAGGCACATTTTGACTGGATGTAAGGTGGCTCTTAGCCAAGGTCGGTTTACTTGGCAGTGGCACCATGACCAAGCACTTCGATGTTTGGCTTTAGCATTGGAAGGCAAGCGTAACATGACCAATAAATTGCTGTTCTGGCTAAACCTTACACACAAAAGACAATATTCCTCCGCCCAGGCGAGCAAGCTCCAAGAAAAGGTGTTAAAACCAGGGACTGGAAAACCAGGGACTGGCTGCTAGGAACTGGAAAATGCTTGCTGATCTTGATCAAAGGGGTATTTTTCCACCTGAGATTGGCACCCCTAACCTCCGACCAGATATTGTTTTGTGGTCTGGATCTGCACGCATTGTTCAACTGACAGAGTTAACATTGCCATGGGAGGATGCTGTAGTAGATGAGGCATATGAGAGGAAGAAACTGCAGTATGCCCATCTGGCCACTGAAGCAGAACAGCGAGGATATAAAGTTCAGGTTTATCCAGTGGAAGCGGGTTGTTGAGGATTTGTGGCACACTCACCATATGGAAAGAAGCGGAAATGGTAGGAGAATCATAGGTTAATGTAAAGATACGTCTTAGTTTGTGCTTATCTTGGCAAAAGCAGAGTACAAATCAGCATAAAGTTTTAACATCTACTCTCGTGTAATGGAAATCATGATAGCTCTCGTCTGAAAGAAGAAAGGCATATACACCTAGGATGGCTTGAAGGTGAGTAAATCATGGGCTAATTTTCATTTGAAAGTGAACTACTCCTTTAAGAAGTTTCGAAAGTCATTAGTCAAGGAAATTGGATAAAAATGAAATGATTTTTTGATTAAAGTGGAATAACTGTCTCTGAATTAGGGTGGAAAAAGCATAATTAATATACCTTAGAAGTAAATCCTTATGTGGCTGTATTAATGCTGTAGTTATTATGGCATGTTTCTGTAGGTATTGGAACTCTTTGCGTAATCTGGTGGTGTCTCTACTCAACTCAATGAAGTCCATCATCAGTCTCCTGTTCCTGCTGTTCCTCTTCATCGTGGTGTTTGCTTTGTTGGGGATGCAGCTCTTTGGAGGACAGTAAGTAACTAGTCCATGTTCTTGCTTTTGTTTTTGCTTTAGGCTTCGCTCTACCTGCTTATCATGTAAAAGTAAACAAAAAGTTCCCAAGAATTAAACAATGGAGGTTATTAATATAACCAGAAACAATATTTTATGCTTAGTGTTCAGATAACAGGCGCTTGTATTTTAAAAGTTTTATTGGTTAGTGTCTAATTATAATTGATCTCATGCTCTCAGCAGCCAATAATTTACTGCACAGACAAATTGTGGATGGCACAAACCATGGTTGTACGTGAATATGTGTTTAATGGCTATTGGCAGACTAGATTCTACCGAGAAACAGGAATTTGTGCCAAAGTACTGTTAACAAAAGATATGGGAGGTGTTTCTCCTCCTTAAATATACCTATTTAATTGGTTATCCTTATTATACACAATTATATGGTTAGTTGCATCTTAATATGTTTTTTTTTCTTTCCCCTCATTGTAATCAGAACAGACCTGCTGTGATGTGCACCACTTTTGGGTTGCGACCCACCAGTTTAGAACAGCTGATTTAAGCCCTTTACTTTTCAGAGCACTTGTGTGATGCACTTTTCACCAAAATTGATAAATCATCCATTGACGTGGAAAAAACCTGCCCATTGTTTACGTTTCATTGGTTACTCTCTGCATAAGCATCTGTGACTCATCCAAGCCCTGCCGTTTCATTTACCCCTCAGCCACATGTTAACAAACATGACTGAGCTGGTCCAGACGGCGCAAGTTTTCATTTCTTTGTTCCGTGAATTATTAATCGTATGCTACAGCAGAGGAATTGCCTCTACGCACGCTTCCCATGAGGTAAATATCAGCTTAGATGCGCAAACATGCTGTCATGTGATCTACTTTAATGAGAAGAGGGCTAGATAAACAAATAGGCGATGCAAAATGAGAAAATGTTATTGAAACATAACAATGTGAGGATAGCTGCAGGAGAGACTATTTCCCCCTGATGGCAAGAATGTGAAGTCGTTCCAGATCTGTGCTTAGAGAATTGAGAAATTGCTTTTGTGCCTCTCTGATACTCGATTTCAGCTCCATAGCGCATTAATATTTAAGACTGTAGATGGACATGATAAACTGACTGTCTGATCCATGAAGTCATTATCTGGGCTGGATGAAAGAGACGTTGTCATATGTTCAGCTGTGAAGCACATCGAGAGAGCAGAGCTGCTGAAAACAATGAGACCAGATAAAACATTCTCACTTTTAGAATGTTTAATATATACAGTATAAAATAAAATATGAATACTAAAGTTTGATGAAAAAAACGCTGTTTGCTAACCAGGTTGAATCCTACGTAAAAAGTAATGTTTTCGTCCTCATTTAAGGGGATAATGCTGAGCAATGACTCAATCACACCCAATCAAACCCCATTTGATAATTAATATGCAGCTATGAGAATTTTGAACCAATGAGATTCCAATGTGTGTGAGGCTTTCTACAGTAGCACATCACAGCATAAATAAAAGCCAAAATATCACTTTTATTACCATTATGAAAGTTATGAAAAGTTGAGGTATGAAAGTTATATGAAATCATGATCATTTTTTGACATTTTGACAGTATGCCATTGATATGTCAATGAATATAGAAATCACTTTTTGAATACTGAAATCCCTTTTTTTCTCTATTATAATCATTATTAACTTTAGTTTTGTTCATTGTATTGCTGTTGCACTATTTTCTTGGAATAAAATGAGGGAAAAACGATCAAAAATCACTTTTATTTTCCAGAATAACATAAACAAGCCTTTCTTCTCTCTTTATAAGCATTTCTTTTCATTCTGTAGTAATATGGGCCCCGCAGAGCCCCTTGAGAGTTGTACATGGAGGAGAATGGTGAAGAAGAAAGCATATTTATTATGTTTTTGTTATTAACTTCAGAGATGCAGAGAGGAGAACTCAGCTCAGCTTTTATATGCAGATGAAACATTATTATTGGAACATATCAACCCTGTTTTTGCTGTCTTTGTGAGCAAACAAATTGAAAAAACGAGATGATTTTGAAATAAGAGCAAAGCTGGCTCCTACTGAGCATACACTTGAGACTCATCCAAGAAAATTATTCACAGCTCATCATCTCTCTTCTAGGTTTAATTTTGAAGATGAGACCCCGACTACCAACTTTGACACATTCCCAGCTGCAATCCTTACAGTGTTTCAGGTATTGGCCGTCTAGTGATATGTGTCTGAAGGCTCTCATGTGATATTTGTATTTCCATAATGTATTTTATCTTGTCAGATTCTGACAGGAGAGGATTGGAATGCAGTGATGTATCATGGTATCGAATCCCAGGGAGGAGTGCACCGGGGAATGTTCTGCTCTGTGTACTTCATTGTGCTCACACTGTTTGGAAACTGTATCCTTTATATTGCATAGAACTGTCATTGGTTTGAATACTTTTTAATGGCCTAATTTTTTTGAGTAAAGGAAATTGAAATTATATGTGTTTAATTTGTTTTTGCTACTGATTTGTAAATAATATATTCATATGAAAGTGTTTCTCCATTTACTGTTAAATGTGTACTAGATACAGCTATATGCAGTTTATGTGTTTATTTAGTATTTTAGAAATCACACAACAGAATGAAGCACTTGTTATGTCAGATTGAATTTTAATTTTAGTAATAATTTAGTCATAATTTTAAAAATAACTGTTTAAATATAATAATTCCTTTAATACTTTGAATTCATTTTAAGTGGGGCTGTCAAACGATTAATCGTGATTAATAGCATCCAAAATAAAAGTTTGTGTTTACATAATATATGTGGGTTCACTGTGTATAATCATTTTATTTATATAAATTCACACACATGCTTGTATATATTTAAGAAATATTTTCATATATATACTGCATATAGATTTAGATATAATTTATATTATATATAAATATAAATATTTTATATATAAATAATATTGTTTTCTTAAATATACATGTGTGTGTGTGTATTTATATATATACAAAATAATTATACACAGTAAACACAAACTTTTATTTTGGATGCGATTAATCGCGATAAATCTTTTGACAGCTTTAATTTTAAGTTATCCTTGCTGAATAAAAGCTTTAATTTCTCAAAAATAAAATGACCCCAATTTTTGAACGATAGTATATAAGGACAACCTGAAAGTTTTACAATTTTATTGATGCCCACTTTCACCCCAATTCCTTAAAGCACATTTGATCAGACACGCTCCTAAATGTATTTTTGGCCATTGCTGTTGATAACCTTGCCAATGCACAAGAACTCACCAAGGTTGGTTTTGCATATTTACGTCCTACATTTGGGCATATGTACATACAATGGCAATACTTAACTTCTGACACTGTCACACTGTACCAGCCATCCGTACCTGAACACGCACCACATCATTCTCACATGTTGTGTACGCAGAGTGTGTGATCCTATCATTATGCACTGATAGTTGTATTAGTTTCATAGGACTGTCTGTAAGGGTTCTTTTGATTTGACTGATGTTTGCCCTGGTTAATAACTCAAGGTAATGAAGCTTTCAGCCCATTATGGGGTTTACAGCTTCACGTAAAGATGACATCTACAGTATAGGGTCATAAGGCTCCTGGGACATCACTATTTTGATTTGTTGATGCTATCCACGGTGCTTTGACATGGGATGCAAATGTATACTCATCTGTCATTCTGTTTCTCTGTCTTACTCAGGATGAGGAGGAGCAAGAGGAAGCCATCAATAAGAAACTGGCTCTGCAGAAAGCCAAGGAGGTAAAGGAGGTCAGCCCCATTTCGGCCGCTAACATTTCCATCACAGCGTAAGTCAGAGGGCCTTAAACCTTAAGTCAGGGTACTGCCCTCCCCTTTCACTAACCCTTTGTAAAACCTGTTCATCACCCATCATGTCCTCTCATTGCTTTATTATATGTGTCCCAAGAATCCTGTTTGTCTCTGTAAGCAGATTTCTGAGTGTTAGTTATTCTGTTGTCACTTTTATGTAATGTCTCTGTAGGCCTCCATGTTCTCTGTGCAGTTGGTCCTGCACCCAAAGTTGGTAGTCTTTAGCAGTGTTGGGGAGTAGTTAACTACAAGTAGCGACGCTACTAACTTAACTACATTTTTCAGTAGCTTGGCAGAAGCTCAGTTGCTTTTTAAACAGTGTAGCTTTTCCAGTACCTTACTGCTTTTTGCAGCACGTAGCGGTGTAGCGCGAGCTGTAATCTTCTTCTTAGATTACAAACTCATTTTTTGCCATTACCGCCACCTGTTGTTTAATCAAACATCTTGCGGCTAACGGTTCACTGACGTACAGAAGTGTGTTGACACACTCATATTATGATTATCCATGATGGAGCAAGACGTGACAGCAGATTTGGAGGATGGAGAAACAACTAACGTTAATTATCCATGGCCTTATTTGTCCAAGTTCAATTTGAGAAAATGCGATTTACGGACATATATTTTGTTCTTGCAATATTGTAGGCTATTTGTTGCAAATTTGCACTTTTGACAAACAGTCTGAAATATTTGAGTGTTGTGTGTAATAAAACAATACTCTATGAAATCATAATTGTTTTAAACACTAAATATTTTACTTAAAACATTCATTAGACACTTATTCAATTATTTATAATATACGTTGTTCAAAAAGCAAAAGTAGTTTCAATGTAGCTAGCTACTTTTTGATAGTAACTTGTAGTGTACAGTAGCTAACTACTTTTCCAAAAGGGTAGCTTGACTGTAGTTTAACTACTTTAACTTACGAATAGCTTGTAGCTTGTCAAACTACAGTTTCAGAGTAGCTTCCCCAACACTGGTCTTTAGACAGAAATGGCACGTGATTCAACCAGCCCGTGTGGACATCTAAAGATTTTTTTGATGCTCTCTTGACAACTGTGTTTGATTAGTGTGATTGTTGTTAGACACCAAATCTTATTTAGTTCTTTGCAATTTAACCTAAATTGGTTGTTTAACTGTTGCTAAAGACAGTGATTGTGGCAATATGATTGACCACAATTCTGAATATTGGGCTAACATATATCATTTCCAATATCAATTGTAGTTATGGCTCTGAATATGATTTCTTTTTTCAGGATCTTGCAGAAATTCTTACTGATTTTTGTAATATTTTGATTGAGTTAACATTTATATTAGGGCTGTGCAAAAATTAATTGCGATTAATCGCATCCAAAATAAAAGTCTGTGTTTACATAATATATTTGTGTGTGCTGTATATAATTATTTTGTTTATATAAATACACACACATGCATGTATATATTTAAGAAAATGTGTTATTCATGTGTAAAATATTTATATTTATATAATATAGATTATGTATTTATAAATATATACAGAATTTAAGCGCAAATAATTCTTAAATATATACATGCATGCATAGGTATTTATATATACAAAATAATTATATACAGCACACACAAATATATTATGTAAACACGGACTTTTATTTTGGATGCGATTAATCGCAATTAACTTTTGCACAGCCCTAATTTATATATTATCTTAATTATGAAAGACATATTTTTTCCAGTGTTAAAAAATCCATTTATTATAATATTGAATAGAGTAAAATAGTAATGAATTAATTGAATGTAATACAGTTAATTAATAAATTTTAATGCACCTGGAATTTGAATGTCTTTCTTAATACTGTAATGCCTTCTCGCCTGTTTTGTTTTTCATTCTGTTTTGAAGTCACACTATATTGTTAATATGTACTTCCCATTGAGTTGGGTGCAGAGCCATATATTGAGAGAGTTGCGACACGCTTTGATGTCGCCGCAAGGCTGTGGTTCATGGAAGCCCCAATAGTTCCAAAACAGACGCGGGCTGTCATGTTCTTCAATGGACAGACAACAGTGATCGCATTATTAAACGGTAAATTTTAAATAAAACACACATCCAAATACTTTTTAAGCTGTTATTGCATTTGGCTAATGTCAGTGTTGCATTTGGAGAGGCAGGGTGACAACTTAGATACGTTTTAGACTATATTTTTGGAGGGAAAAGCCTAGTGTTCATGTTCGCATTGGTAGTTGCACTGGCTTTAGCGGCTCTAACTTAACTTTTCCATGTCATTCATCTGATGATTGACGTCTCATGATATTTATTTTAGCACAACTGGGCTGTATAAGGTTATTGATTCGTGATCTTACCGTGATATTACCGTGATCACGCAAAGACCCGTGGACTGGTGGCCCGTTCAGGATTACAACCATGACAACCAACATAAAATATAAATAATTACGCTGTGCATGAACAAATGAATGATTTAGGAGGGAAATAGTCTGCTCCCATGACGTAGAAACGACTATATTTACAGCAATGTTCGGTAAATTTTAACTTCATAAACTGAAACCGGAGAGATAGTTATTTTTCTTATTATAGAGATTGCATTTTGACTGTGTAGTCAATCGTACTATTTTTTTTAAATTTTTTCTGCTTTGAATGTACTTTATTTTGTGTAGTGCTATGGACCATTTTATATGTATGTCCTGAATAAAGATATGATGATGATGAGTTAATGAGTGAATTAACTATGTTCCTAAATACGATCCATAACTGTTGGGATTCAATTCAATATATATATACTATATATTAGGGCTGTGCAAAAGTTAATTGCGATTAATCGCATCCAAAATAAAAGTCTGTGTTTACATAGTATATTTGTGTGTGCTGTATATAATTATTTTGTATATATAAATACCCACACATGCATGTATATGTTTAAGAAAATGTGTTATTCATATATAAAATATTTATATTTATATAATATAGATTATGTATTTATATATATATACAGAATTTAAGCGCAAATAATTCCTAAATATATACATGCATGCATAGGTATTTATATATACAAAATAATTATATACAGCACACTCAAATATATTATGTAAAACAGACTTTTATTTTGGATGCGATTAATCGCAATTAACTTTTGCACAGCCCTACTATATATATATATATATATATATATGAATGCATGTGAATTTAATGTATGCCTATATGCATTACACAAACACATATGCATAACCCTAAACCATTTTTAATAATATAATATTATAATATTTTACCATAAGTTGGCTAACAACATTAGTGAAGTGTTGGTCACGTAAGCTATCGCTGCAATTAACCTATTATCTTCCATAAACATTTACTAGACCTGGCTACATATCATATAACTACAGACTAGATTCACGAGAGGTCGGCTTAAGTGTGTAAAAGTAAAAAAATACCGAAATTTCATTAATTTACCAGCGAACGTACTTCGGAAGCACTGAAAATGAATGGGTTCAATGCTGGAACTATCAGTGGTTGGAACTATTGGCGGCTCCACGACACGCGTTACTTCCGCATTCCTAAGTTACAATGGCGGACTATGGGAGTGTCAGAACTCTCTCAATACATGGCTCTGGTTGGGTGGAGTTAGAGTCAGAGTGATTAACAGCTGTAGTCCCTGTACACTGACTCCACCCCCACCAAACTATTTCTTTCTCCTCTGATGGTTTTTGTTTTTGGCATATGCAGTTTTATAAGGCCAATTCCCGGTGCTCTTTCATGCAGCTCCTCCAACTCCAGCTCTCATTCACCGTGAGTTAATTTACTCTCCTCTCCAAATCTCCTCTCCTCCTCTGTCCCAGCACACTGCTCTTATATGATGCCAGACAGCCGAACTAGTCTCGCTGACCAGAGTCGTTCACAGTTTAGCACATAGTTTAACATTGTTTTCTTTTCTTTCTTTAATAAAAGCCATTTTAAATGTTAAAATGTCTTGTTAATGAAAGCTATTGTGGACTTTAAGAAAACTATCAGTGTTAATCTGCTTCAGTTTACTGCAACTTCAGTGTATTAATTACTTTTTTTGTAATGTAATGTTTGCCATATTTCTTTAGCTAGCGGGTTAGACAAGTTTCTGGATACTAGATTAACTGTTTGCTGGACTCATTGGCTGCTGTTGGCATTGAGCCCTGTTCTGAGAAGTGTCTGTCTGTTTCCCAGTGAGCATCACTACTAGAGCTTCTGCTACTGCTAGTGCCTAATGAGTCAGCACTCCTGTCAGACAAACCCACTGTGAAAGCGTAGACACACGCACACACATACACACGCACGTTACACTTACAATTATATAGAATATATGGAATTAGAACCACAGAAGTTGGCTCGTCAATCTTTTGAGAAGCTACATTTTTAAAGACATTTGTTTATTTAATTAGTCTTGATGCTTTAAAGGAACAGTTTACCCCAAAATGAAAAGTCGTTCATCATTTACTGACCCTCATATCATTCCATGAAGCAAAAAAGGTGAAAGGAGGACTGTCGCTGTTACAAATATAATTAATTATAATTTATTTATATTATTAATTATAATATAAAGTTAAAAACACTAACTTTATGTGAGAAACAGACAAATTAAGGTGTGTTTCATGATTATACACTGGAGGAGATACATTTCCCCTCCAGTGGACTGTTTACTGTGAGTGGATTCTGAGAACTGATCAGTCATCGGCTGAGTCTGAAATCACCCCCATACCGTCAAATTGGACGTTATTTGAGGGGACAGCCATTTATAGTGGTGTCCAAAACCATAGTGGACGTTATTGGGTGTACTACTTATTCAAACCCACATAGTGTAAAACCGATGTAGGCTCAACGGCTGTCTGAATTTGCTCTCTCCTTTTCATTCACTCCTACAAGTGAACAGTATTAGTGGACTAACGTAATAGTGAATGAGGGTTTAGAAGGCGATTTCAGATTCAGCCATCATGTCCATAAATGAATCACTCTTTTCAATGAATCGATTGATGTAGTTCACAAAACAGATCTGATGTACTCATACAGTACATATAATGTCAAGATTTATGTCAGTAACAATTAAAAGTCTGTCTGTTTCATGCACAAAAGCTGCCATATTGCCATATTGCGATTTGAAATATAGCACAAAAGTCATTTGAAGAACCATTATTATGCTTTTATGGTTCATTTTGGGACTTGTCAGCCCCAGTCCTCGTTGATTTCCATTATATTTAAAAGAGTGACTAGAATATTAAACATTTGTGTTCCACAGAATAAAAAGTCCCATGGCTTTGTAACTAAATGAGGGTGAGTGAATGATGACAGATTTTTTTTTGTTGGTTCAGTTTGAGCATTAATGAAGATTTTAGTGTTGTAGAGAGTCTGGATAAGTCTGCCATCATCTCACTTCTCTCCACTGTTTTGTACATTCTTTAATTTTTCCACCATTCGTTTTCTGTCTGTCTTTGATGCATTTTTATTCCTTTCTGGTTTTCTTGTCAAATGTTTGTCTTCTGACTTTGTGTTTTCTGTAGCACTGTGGGGACTCTTAGCGTGTCCGTGTGTATCTGTGTATTTCACTGTGTGCTGTATGTGTTTTAGGAGTTATGTCTGCTCCCCTGCTCATCACTACTTGAGGTAATGGTACAGCAGGGCATGATTTCTTCTACAGTACATGAATGGACATATTTTGATCATCTGTATGACAAAAAACTAATACTCATTCACAACTCACCTCATTGTCATTCCAGAATCTTGCCCCACATTCATACACAGTATGTCAATGTTAACCTATGATTTCATTTTTAACCGTTGGCCACCTGTAAAAAATCATTAATTGATAACATTTCACTATAAAACACTTAAAAGCTGTTGTAAGGATTTTTAGTCAATACCACACTGAAAATTCAGAGTTTGATGAAGCTGTGAATGGTTTTTATTTGCCAGGGACTTGGAAAGTTAGCAAAGCTAGAGCGATTAGCCAGAATTTAGCAAGAGAGCTAACATTGTTTACAGCAGCTTTAAAGTACTATGTTGTAGCACGTTGAGAACATCTCGGTCCTTATTTTTGCTAAGTATGTTAATATTTGATAGAAAAATGGAAATTGTGGCATAGTGAGTAGTTCATATGCTCTGAAATATAAGCTGTAGAGACTTTTGTTGGTCTCTCTGCTACCTATTATTAATAACATGGCTAAAAGTCAAATAAACAGAAAAGGGAAATATTATCACAGTAAAATCAGAGTTTGCACCACCTCATCCAGCTAGTCCACAAGAGATACAGTCTGACCTCAGGACTGATTCACACTGCAAAGCCCTGTTAGCACTTAAGCAGTAAATAATGCCTGATTATCAGTCTCTCCACTCTCTCCCAGCCTCAGAGAGCATTCTCTTTCCCGTCACCTGTCTACACATTGCTGTAGTTCACTCATCACGCTCCCTCGTTCACAGCCTGCCTGCTAGAGGTGTGCTCAAAATAAAGTGATGTGGAGAAGAGATAATTGTAGATGTTACTTTCCCCCAGCTCAATCTTTTCCTTTACTTGTCTTGATTCATATTCTTTAAGAAAAAAACGGGAGGCCAGGGAGCAGCAGTCAGTGCAGGCGACCAGGGCAGAGCAGACGGGACGTGAACGGTCTCTTGTGCAGCAGGCACAATGTGTTCGGTGGCCCCGACATGAAGTTCAGTCTCAGCAGGCGTGACGTGAATCATAGGCTTGGCGGGATGAGACTCTGGCAGGACTGGGATCCTTGCAGATCGTGCGGACCTTAGTGGAGGATCTGCTGAGCTGGACATCAGCCCTGAACACCAATAGGAGGCAGACCCTATGGCTAGCGTGACGGAAAGATTCTCAGGTTGGGTAGAGAAGACACAGAGCTCTTCCTCTACCACACCCACAGTAAATGATGTGCCGTTTAAAAGGGCCAGGTCAATGTGTGCTCTAAAGTCCAGTGAGGATCATGTAAGGGCATGAATGAACTGAGCGGTTCAGATAGTCCTCCCCGAAAAAAGACCATGGGGCATTTCGTGCTCATTGAAGTGAGACGTGGCACTTCAAACTATTCGACATACCTCTCAATCGACCGATTCCCCTGACGGAGACACAGGATTTCTGTATATCTGTATCCATGGTTGGCATCTAGGTGTGGTGAATTTTTCTGTCTAGAAACTGCTCAGAGACACGACGGTAAAGATCCAAATGCAGCTTTAATAGGGACATTCCAGACACATAATCCAATAAACAGGCAAAGGTCAAATACACAGGTAGGCAGCCCAAACAAAACAGAAAAAAACAGGCAGGGGTCAGAGGCAGAAAAATAATACAAGGAACAGGCAAGAAATAAAATAAAGAAATAAATAAAAGAAACCAGGGAGAAACACTTGGGAATGCAGTGTAACATACAAAACTTTGTAGTGAGTGAATGAGTGAACATGCTATAAATAGGCTGAGACTAACAGGGTAATGAGACACAGGTGAATGCAATCAGTGATGATGAGTCTGGGCAGTGAATTATGGGGAATGTAGTTTGTGATGGACTGATAAAAGTCTAGTGTGGAGTACCCTCTGGTGGCTCTCAAGGGCACTCCAGCTGGTGACCGTTACAGTAACGCAGGTGTAGAATGCATGATTAAACTTCATTACCCAAACCATTGTTCACAAACATTTGCAGGATGAGTAAAGCATGACCATTACTAATCTTTGTAATTTGGCATCCATAAAGATCTTCTTTTTATTTATTCAACAGTATTTATCCAGTCCTTGAAACTGCTTGGACAAACACCGTTCAAAGAACACTAATATTTAGTCCAGCAGCTCTGGAACTTTTCACTATTTGTATCATTCTGCTTTTCTGTCGTTGAAACCAGCTCATTTAAGTTTGAGTCAAGACTCGGAAAAGGTACCAGTCAGAGTCAAGACAGAATCTACAACACATGCTCCCGTATTTTCATGGTCTTGGTCCTCGATCGTCCTCATGTCTAAATCCAAGACTATATTTTCATGGTCTTATCATGGACTCGGGGGCTATATCTTAATAGTCTTGGTCCTCAAGTCTTAGTCTAATGGTCTAAGTCTGGTCATGGATTCGGGAGCATGAACTTGTCTTGACCAAATTAAGCCCAATTTTCACATCAATTAGGATTTTTAAATGAAAGCAAACACAAAATCATCATCATGAAAGAGGGTCTCGACATGGATGGAGACTAACGTCAACACCATGCCTAATTGTTTTATTTAAATTTGTCTGTCTGAGGCTAATAGATTTGTTTCCTTAAATCTTCTCTTCACTAGTAAAGAACAGCAACGGTCTCTAAAGATGATGTCGGTGTGGGAGCAGCGCACCACTCAGATTCGGAAGCACATGCTGGCCAGCAGCGAGGCATTGTACCAAGAGGATCTCAACGCCAGGCTGAATTCCAACCTCCACCTCCGCCCTGACATCAAAACCCACCTGGACCGGCCTCTGGTGGTGGAACCTCAATGCGACGGCCGCATTAGCCCTAACCGAGGCTGGGGCAAACCCCAGAATTTGCAAGGGGAGGGTGGCATGCCGGAGGAACGAATCCCCCCTGGGATGGAGCCCCCACAGTCGCATGCACCACGCAAACACCACCGTCACAGGGAGCGTCCCTCCAATGAGACCAATGAAAATGGTGACACCGGGCATGGCAAAGAAGGGCGGCATCACGTCCATCACAGCCGCAGTAAGGAGCATGATGGGACACGGTGTAAAGAGGGGAAGGGCGAGGGGGGCCGCAGACATCACCACCAGAGTTCAGTGGATGAGGGAGTGGGAGGTGGGGAGAGAGAACACCGTCACCATCACTCCCACAGGCATAACAGGGAGGGCAATGGGGTTGTCAGTGCTGGGGGAAAGAGTGAACGACGGTCCAGGCAGAAGGAAGGCTCACGATCAGGAACTAGAGAGGGAGAGAGGTGCTCCAGGGGGGAAAACGGTGGTAATGGAGGGCGGAGGCGGCACAGGCCGCGAACCAGTAAAGCTCAGTCCACACTGGAAGCAGAGGAGCAACAAGAGAATGGAGAGAAGGAGGAGGGCAAGTCTGCCAGTCACAGGTAAAACTTTCTTCTCAAATAGTTTTTAAACGGTGTACATTTTTTTTTTTTGATTTTGCATGTTTGATTAGCACATTTGTTCTATAAAGTTTACAAAGAAAACTGAACCATGTACTGAACCAGTGATCTTATTCGTATATGAGCAATGATGCCTCTAGTGGTGGGGGTTTTGATTCATTCATATTTGTTCATTGATTCTTTCAGTGACTTTCTTTTTGTTTACCAGTGAGTGACATTTTATGTACTATAAGCAAATTAATTCATGTAATCAACAGATTAGTTCAGAAATATTTTGAGCCATAAACAAACCTTTTTGTTTCTAAAAATGTGCTTTTCTATATATCTAAGATTCAAGGTGGAGTGTTTCATAATCATGCTAAGTGATTTGTCAGTCAGCACAATCTCATTCACATTAAATGCTTTGTTTGTTTAATTTATTTATACATCCCAATTGTAGTTTGGTACCTCACTGAGCCAATTCACACTGAAAACACCAACTAATTCATTGAAGATTTATTGAGTTTGTCCAACCAATAATATGCTATGAAATATTGAATGAGTATGATGAATCAGTTCAGAGTCTTTCATGACCAAAAATCAAGGTGTAAATTTGGTATTGATTCCCTGCTCCAGGCACATGGACATGGGAGGAGATTCATTGGCTATAAATCCCCATCAGCCTTCAGTTGGGAACCGATGGTGTCTTGAGAAACCAGAAGACTCGAACAAACGAAATATTGGTCAGACTGGAGGAATGGGCACACACATACCTGTGACCATCACATCTCCCCCAGGAGAAACGACCCTTATTCCCAGTTAGTATTTCTCATATAGCCATATCAGGTCATGATGGCTAATTTTAAATAATTTTACACACATTTGTCTGTCACTTTTTCAAGGGTCTTAAAGGGATAGTTCACCCAAAAATAAACATTCTGTCATTAATTACTCACCCTCAAGTCGTTCTAAACCCGTGATAACTCCATTGACAGCTATGACTGTTCAACAATTTCTTCTCTTCCGAATCAGTCTCTGACATGTGTTTACGAGAGCATCATGACGCATGCTTGTAGTGATGTTCTGACATATGACCCGTAAACGTACAGTAGGGCTGTGTTTACAAGCAGAGGAAGACGCATGTTTTGTGGTGCTCTTGTGTACGTGCAGGTGAGGAACGACATGAGGGTGAGTAATTAATGTCAGAATTTTTGGGTGAACTAACACTTTAACATTGGAAGCCAAGGTTCGTCTAACAAAAGTGACATTTGTTTGTCTTCTCAGTGAACAGTATAGACAGCGAGACGATGCCCATGACTGAGAAGAATCTGGAGAATCTAAACCAGAGCAGCACTCGTCCCATCCTCCCTTTCAGCTCCATGTTCATCTTCAGCCCAAACAATCCGTGAGTCTGTGTGTGGCAGTTCTAGAGAACATGTCTAAATAAACTTTCAAAACAGTGTGTATTTGAACATTTATTCTAGTGCAATGTCACAAAAACTGTTGTTAGAGCATTGAACCAGAAATATCCCTTTAACAATTTTTTTTGGTTACATGACAGTAGCTTACATTCAAAAAAGGCTTTCCAGTAACAAGCTATTTTTTTCTTGTCAACAAGTAGCAGTATAGCATGATACAGTCAAGTGAGGATATCAAGTACCCACTCATATTATGGTTGCCTTCAAGTAGTGTTCAGACATCAAACAGTAGCCTCAGACTTGTAGCTCATTTTCAACGATGAAATGGAAGTAGCAACAGACATGTTCTATATTGTGAGGTACATCCAAATGAAACAGAATATTTCAAAAAAGAAAAATATAGGAGGCTTCTATCCATCTGTTGTTGTTTGGATAGAGGCAGGTCTTGTAGTCAATTGTAAGAAAGGGGCGGAGTTTCAGCAGGCTAAATAAATCCAGTCCAGCATACGTCAGAGAGAAGTCTGTCATTTCACCAAGATTAAATTATGGTATTTTGGTTATGAGTTATTATTAAAAAATGAAACATGCATGGATGAATCATTCACAATAAGATAAATAACATGCATTTAGAAAATATATTGAAAAATGCAGTGAATTTTTTATTCATGCTGACATTGTTGCTCCTACTGTAAATTATGAGTAGCAAAGTAGCTTCCTTAACACTGTGAGTGGCTTCTAAAGCTTTCACACACAGCGTTTGTAGATGGCATCTGGCAAACCAAAAATAGATTTATATCTGCAAGCGTTTTTGCTTATTACTTGTCTTAAACATCCCTAAGAATGATTGTAAAGTTTGATTGTGTGTGTTTAAGGTGAACTCATTAAGATCTTTTGAATCTAAAAGGCATCCGAACCCATAAACCTCCTCGTAAAGCTGTGTTTTTAATGGGCAATTGCCAAATGCAATTGTCTGCCATGGCCATGTTGGTGTAACAATATAGGATTAGATTTATTTTACTATATTAATACCAGAAGAGTGTTGACCTGACCATGTCTACTATTATTATTACTGAATTAATCGTTGAACTCTCAGACCTTGCCTATCGGTGATAAATTAATTGTATCTGTCTGTAGATTTAAAGTAATGTTTAGGTGTCATACTTCATTATGTAACTGCCTTCAGCCTCACTCCCTTAGTGTGTGTTTTTTTGTGCAGGGTGAGGCGTCTGTGCCATTACATTGTGAGTCTGCGCTACTTTGAGATGTGTATCCTGGTGGTCATTGCCATGAGCAGTATAGCCTTGGCTGCGGAAGACCCAGTCCAAGCCAATGCTCCTCGGAACAATGTAAGTTGCTCATATGTTTCGTCTGTGCTGGCCTTGATGTTTAAAGTCAGATTTGATCAGTGTTTGACCTCATTTTTCACTCTTCGCTGGTCATTTTACTCTTCGCTTCATAGGTCCTAAAGTATTTGGACTATGTCTTCACTGGTGTTTTCACATTTGAGATGGTCATTAAGGTAATTGTATGGTACATTACAGTGTTTAATTGAAAATGAATTTAATTGAAAACGAATGAATGAATGAATGAATGAATGAGGCATTTATATAGCACTTTCATACAGTATGTACTACTGTACACCCAAAGTGCTTTACAATCATATCAGGGTATCTCGCATGAGACATGATACAAAAGTCCTTTTATGACCTGAGATGTGAATATTTGGTGCCAGTCTCTCTGTCAAGACACCTTCATTTATATAGCGCTTTTTACAATACAGATTGTTTCAAAGCAGCTTTATAGTGATAACAGGAAAATAATGCAACAACGTTTGTTTCTGCAGTACAACAAATCTAGAAGACAATAGTGTCAGAGTCCAGCTTAAGTAAGTTCAGTCAGTGATGGTTAATTTTTGTTTTCAAAAAAGTTATTAATTTAGTTCATTTATATATTAACACTCTGGAGAAAACAGTGATGTCATCATCCAGCTCAGTTCAGTTCTTATAGAATGGTGCCAATGCAGGCAGATCAATATTATTGTTGAATGTTAAGTGGCCCAAATAAGCAAGCACATTGTGAAGCATATTGACCCATTTTTATATCAGGCATGCGGCAAACTCTGTATTTTCATAAATTACTAGTCAGTGGTTTGCTTGAAAGACTGGTCAACTAGTTGGTCTAATTAAGATGGTTTACATAGGACATATCCTTGTGTTCATAAACAGTTAGATGGAGTGCAACAGGGCTCTTGAGACACAGGGCTCTTGAGACACAAAGCAACACTAATGTCCAAGACATAAACAAGTGTTAGTATCAAATAACTTGTATTTCTGACAAAGTTTAGTTTTTTCGCTCTTCAGTACAGTAACTGAAGACATCTCGGTCAAATATCTATAACATTTTATTGTACTAAACAGTCATATTCTTGACAATAAAAGACTTAATAGGACTCTGTATAATAATGGGAATGTTGCTCACAGCGAGCAATATGAAGTCTGTCAGTAATTGTCTTTTGTTACATAAACAGTGTATTTTTTTCTTTTGTTACATAATCTTTCATAATTATTCTTCTCCTTTGAAAAGATGGTGGATTTGGGTTTATTGCTGCATCCTGGTTCCTACTTCAGAGATCTGTGGAATATTCTGGACTTTATTGTGGTCAGTGGTGCACTGGTGGCATTCACATTCTCGTAAGTTGCCTTTCATTTACAAAAACCTACACAAATCCATATAAGTTAGAGCACTTTTAACTAAAAACTTTACTTAAGCATGTTTGAATTTTTATCATTGATCTTGACTAAAATACTTTGTAATTTGAGTCACCTATTAGAATACTCGTTTCTCTTTGTTTTAAAGGTTTTACTCTACACTCATTCCCATAGTGTGACAAGAGTGTCTGTCTATCTTTGCATTTCACATTCAAAGCTGATCCATTGACCTTCCTGTTTTTCTCTCAGATGTGTGGGTCAGTTGATATCACTTTATTGTACTTTTGAGAATGCAGTCTCAAAAACAACGAGTGTGTGTAATAAAGGAGTTGTCTAATAAAATCAGCTGTTCGCTCATGTCCTGTACAGTTATGGAAGGTCCATTGAAATGCTTTAGTTTTAAGGAAATGCTATTAGTTTTATAAGAAACACTTACCAGTTCAACAGAAATATAAAAGAGCTATAATGTTATGATTTGCTGGGTTTTTGAATGTAAGGTCTCAATGAATGTACTTCTTACATTATTTGTACAGTATCATAATCGCGTATCTGGGTGCATTTCATTTTGTGATTGGAATGGCATACTGGTTTGGTGGTGTCCCCACCAAGCTTAACTAATTTAACCAGCAAGACTTTCTTGGACAGCGAGTGAGATCAGAGCACAGAAATTGTTTCCTGCCACGTCCATTTATTTTCAGTGAATAAGACAAGCGGAGAAGAGACTGTGTGCAATACCTAGAATATTGCTTCAGAGTAAAGGGGTCTCAGCGCTGTACTGACTAATCTGTCCTTCTTCCTGTTCGTTTTTTTTATGTTTGTTGCTGTGTTGTCATGTCAAAGGCGTGTTAAATGTGAGTGAATTGATGTGCTGTCACTGACTTTCCTCTCTTCCTGTTTCTCTCTGCCTGGAATCGCTTGAAGGAGCTTCATGGGGTAACTCTCTCTGTGTCTTTGTTTCTGTCTCTCACTTTCACTGTTCGTCTTCTTGTCTGTCACTGTATGAGTCAAATAATACTTACCCCATGGGCAAGTGTTGAAGCATGAGAAGTGTTTCATCCTCTTCATAATCCATCATTTAGCATCACTCACACATTCTCTGCAAACGAGCTTGATTCTTCTTCTTTATGTCATTTAATTGTCATGGAGGGTAGATATGTTACTGTTAAAGATTCATACCATTTTCAGTAGGTCTACAGTACTTATTGAATATGGAGCATCCTGGACGATACCCACAGTGACCTCAGTCAGGATGAGCAGTGCATGCGTCATAACATATCAAAGAAGACCTGTTTACTTGTGTTGGAGTGGTATATCAGGGCAGGTCTAGGCCAACGATTGAAACGTTGTTCACTTCAAACATCACATCGGAACTCCATTGAATTGCCGGGCATGAGAATATGAACATATTTTCATGCCCATCTTTCTGCATGTTTTCAGATGTGGTACTGCAAACGTGGCTGCTGTGATTGGCCAGATCCTTAACAGTTAAAGCATAAAATAGTTATAAATAGGGATGCACTGATTACATTAAAAATAAATGTAAAATTAAAACACTAAAATATAACGCTATTATGTAGTACATACATTTTTTATTGTACTTGTTCATCTTGAAATTTTGAAAAGCTCAATTTAGCTTAAAGCCACAATATGTATTTTTTCTGCATTAAAAATAGCAAAAATAACTGTATCTATGTTATATATTTCTGTTAGATATGTACTTACATTATCCCGACAGTTTCCACCAAATTTCAAATACGGAGAAATTTATAGTTTAATTCGAAGACACGGGACGTTTCTTTATTTCCGTTTCGTCGCCCGTCTATGGCGTCATATAACCTTTGACTCCTCTATTTTCTCTAACTTCCTTGCGGAACCCGGCGAAACCGCCAAACACAAAGGGGAACACTGGACTACCGCCAATAAAGCAAAGAAAATGACGAAGAAAAAAAAGTAGTACGTATTTTTATGTGTGTAAATCACACTGTCCCCGGTGCTGCTCCTCGCGCATAAAGCGCTCCCCGTTCACAGTAGCTAACCGTGTCGTCTCATTAAAAAAAGCCAACTGTTGCTGTTAGCGAGCCGCGCACATTGAATACTCATTATGAGTCAGGCTGCGAATGTACGTGCCCGCTTCAGCGCGCTCATACTTACTAAATAAACACCTCACCTCCGGCGCCGCGCACTCACTATTAGCCTTAGCACATAGTGGATGAATAACGCAAACCCACGTTTGACTGCAGTATCTTATGTGCTTTATAATCCGGTGCGCTCTATATATGAAAAATGTTCTAAAATAGGTCATTCATTGAAGTAGCGTAATATTAATATTTATATTCGTCTGTATAATAGTTATGGACCACGATTACGCTTTGCCTGCACGTTTTGCTGCTACAGCCAGCTCATTAGCTAAAGCTCAAACGTACCTGAAAAATATGACCCGAGAAGGGTTTGAGACAGGAGAAGCGTGACACAGGTAAACATTTGGGTTGCATTTAAAGCTTCTTGATAAGCTAAATCTACAGAGAGATGCCGTATATCCGTATATTTTGTGAAACGATGATGTCATGTCATGAGCTGAGCTGGTTGTCATTGACAGCGACAACAACTCCCGTGAGCCCACGCTCTTTCCCGACGTCATCAAAGTACGTCTTTTGTTATTATTTTAAACGAGTGACCCCTGGTGGCCAAAAATCTCATACTGTACGTTTAAAATGGAATAAAACAGTGTTATTAAATAATGACCTTTGTCAATGTTAAATGACGGACAAGAAACGTGATCCATAACAATTACATTTCCAATATCAACTGATAAATTAAAACATCTCACGCCTATAAACAATTTGATACCAAGATATCATGCATCCCTAGATATAACATTTTGCCCATGTGCCAACTAACCAAAACTAACAGTTGTACAATTACAACAATGCTATACATTTTAGGTTCATAACCATTTGCTGGCATCTTTCAACCTTGCTCAGGATTCATAAGCGTGATATGAATCAGATCTCCACCACCTCTTATATTTGGAGCATGTCTTGGTATTCTAGATCTTGTATGTGTTGTTTTCAGATCCACACTCAGATGTTCCCTCTGTGTCAAGTGTACCCTTCATCTCTCCAGCAAAAGAAGCTGTCATCCTGTTACATCCTTAAAAGAAATGAATGGCAGTTAGAAGTGTCTGTTTCTCCCACCATACAAAGCCTCTTCCTCCTTTTTGCCAGTTTCCAAAACATTTGCCTAAAAACACTGCCACAATTCCCTGTTTCTCCAGCATACAGCCATTATGGCTCATATTTTAGTCTCACAGAGGAACATGATGGCGCTCGTGACAGTCTCTTTTATTCTCAATGAAAAATCATGTGCAATGTTGTGAAAGGATGATGTGGTTTACTGTTAGTGCAGAGGTGCTTTCTGTTCTCAGCATGTCATAATGTTTTGCCTTTTGCTTTGTGTTCTTCTCATTCATTAGATCACATCAAAGCGTTAACAGGTGGGGAACCCCCAATATTCTCTTTTCTCCTTGATAAATCTCCTCTATTCTTCACTGTTCCGGGACTGACTGGGATAATGTTCTTTACTGTCACTAATTAGTAGAGCGAGAGTGTCTGTACAGGGTTGGAGCCTCTACAATAAAACTGATAGCTTTCATCTGGACCTCGTAGTGAATGTTGCATTGGTGTGAATTAGCATTTTCCATCCATAATTGAAATCTGGGGTCTTGTGAAAGTTACCAGGGTGTCCAGTGGGACACTATTGAGGCTCTCTTAGTTTGTTGTGGGTTTTGGGGATAAACATCAGGCCCTGTACAGTAATTGCATGCTAGACTAATGTGCATCAGGGAGCATGGGTGGAGTTGCATGACCTTGCTGAGCTCTCTGATTGGGCCAAAGGAGTAACTTCACCATGCTGAGTGATTGGTGACCATGCTGTAAGGTCTCTGCTGATTGGCTGTTAGATTGGAGTTCACTGGACTTTTAGAAGAATGTATGAACTGTGCATGTGTGAGTAGACCTTGGGACTTTCTAAGGGTGAAGATGTAACTGTTCATTATTGTAAATGCTAGAAATCTGCAAATGTAACACCACTTGGAAAGGTCTGTTGTAGTTGATTGAAGGTCATTTGTTTTGAAATATGTATTTGTGCTATGACGGGGAATCACTGCTTGGGGATTTTTCTATTGTAAGCATTTTCACAATAACTTCTTGCAGTTATTTTCTGCTGATTCATCGGTCAGCACCAATCATACACCTGCCAAAGCCTTGCTTATTTCAACGCTTTATCGAAGTAAGAGACTATATGAGAATAGAGAATAAATGAGATGCGATATGACCTCTCAGAGGTCATTCTGTTGTTCTCTCTTCCATTGCTGCACTGGAAGAACTAAATGGTACCTGCAAACTAATACAAATTATAATGGCGACTTACTGCACATTATATTGCTTATTACACGGCTACTCATCAAATAAATAAATGTGTGAATATGAAGTATTTATTTGAGTTCAAATGATTTTATTTTGCCTATATTTGATCAATTTAAAATGTTGACTAAAAATAATAGCCCAAAACAATTAGCCATTTTCACTACTGTCAATAACTTAGACACAAGAGTCTGCCAGTTGCATTTGTATAGATAGTGAGTATGTGGCGGGATACAGCCGGAGACATGAAAGTTGCGGCAGTTTGAGTGGATTGATATACAGCATTGCCATGAGCGACGGTTGGACATGTTTGGCCACAGAATGTCACAATTAACCGATCAGAATCAAGCGATACAGAGAGCCGTGTAATAATTAGTTGTATTGTAAATTAAGACAATTGGGAAAAACTAATCAGTACAGAAATAGTAATTTATCTGCAGTTTATATTGTCAGACATCCAACACAACACATGCCCTGCATCAAAATAGGGGCTTAAAGGTTATTTGAATGAATGTGATGTCTCACAAATAATATATGATTCAGTTTGCTCTTTGCCTGTATTCGATATAATGCGAAGGGCTTCAGTTATTTCATATGACCAATTGAGTATTTCCTCATGATTCAGTTATTGACTATGCTTGTCCTTGCAGTTACTTCATTAAATGACATTGTAAGCTTGCCGGTTATGATTTGAGTATTTAAGAGCTAAAGCATGACTGCTCTTTTCATTAAGGGTGAAATTACATTTTATTTAGCCTTCCGCTTTTTTTTTTCTTGCTGTAAGCTCTATTTTCATGAATACATGCACTGTATTCAAATCTATGCAGTCAGTTTATCAAGTTGACACATTTGAAGCTTGTCAGCTTGATATAACCTCAAAACAACATTGGTTCCCGAAAAGAAACAATGCCCTTTTTTGGGGGGGTGTGGTTTCTTTGTTTATCATTGGTGGTGTGTTGTTGTGTTAGAAGCTAATGTACAGCAGCATTTGGATTGAATCCATGTTACCTTTCTTAGTGTATGCATGAATTGTGCTAATAGTAAGGTATCATTCAATAACAGGCTAACATTTCTGATAGAGGGTGTTTCATACGGATATTAACTATTTAACGTGCATGCAATGTACTGTATTTCATACTCTGTCACCAAAGCATGTGCTTTTGTGAAATAACACCAATCCATTAGTGGAGTGATCTAAAGCTATGACACTAAAAGATGCGCATTTGTTAGATATTTAGCTGTTGTGTTTGACAGTATAAAACGGTGAGTATGTTTTGTCTAGTGTCACTTAGTGCTGCATTATTGATATTTTAACCGAAGGAAACTTTTACATCATGTTTACTCGCATTCTCGTGTGTATTGTCTGGACATGTATGAATGATTTGAAGAAGGTTGACTACAGCATGTGTTGTGTTTGATCCTGAGTTTACTGAGCCTTTCTTTGTTTTGACTCGTGTAGAGGAACCAAGGGCAAAGACATCAACACGATAAAGTCCCTAAGGGTGTTGCGAGTCTTGCGACCTCTGAAGACCATTAAACGTCTACCAAAACTCAAGGTACATATTTTGTTGTCACTGTTAAGGAAATATCAATCCTAACATATATTTTCTTTAAATATTTTTTTAAAGAAGTATCTTATGTTTATAGGCTGTATTTGATTTGAATTCAAATACATTAAAACTGTAATATTGCATTCTATTTAAATATAGTTAAAAATGTAATTTATTCCTGTGATGGCAAAGTCCGAATTTTCAGCAGCCATTACTTCAGGCTTCAGTGTCACATGATCCTTCAGAAATCATTCTAATGCTGATTTGGTTCTCAATATGAACACAACATTCAGAAACTTAGGAAACTGGCAGCTCCAGTTGTAATGATTTTTTTTTAACTCTATCATGGAAATTAGCATGTATAAACCCTTATTAATCAACTTAATAATCAAGTAAAAAAGGAATTATTTATACCTGTATGATATTACACTGTAGCCACATTGGACCAGCTGTTTGGAAAATAAATGGATGGAAGATTCAGGTGCGTGCGCCATCTTCTAGTGAGACGCAGGAAATCATTCGGCATGCGACTCTCACAATGCATTATGGTTATTCTATAGTCGTTGAGTCAGTTGTACACTCGTTATTGCGGTGCATTGTGGGATTGAATGAGTGCACTCGATAATGTCCACTATGGTTTCGGACACCCCTAGTGCCCTATTTAAGGGTATAGAGGGTGATTTCGGACACAGCCAGATTCTCATGAGTCTGCATTCAGCTGCTTTATGACTTTTAGTTGACTGGTAATGAACAAGACTGTATTTTTATGTGTGTCTGCACTCTCTCTCAGGCCGTGTTCGACTGTGTGGTGAACTCCCTGAAGAACGTGTTGAATATCCTCATTGTCTACATCCTGTTCATGTTCATCTTCGCTGTCATTGCTGTGCAGCTCTTCAAGGGCAAGTTTTTCTACTGCACAGATGAGTCCAAGTGCCTGGAGAAAGACTGCAGGTAGAGTGGGATTAAGGGGCTGTTTACGCGACACCATTGGCTTTTTGTGCCTTTATCAGACAGGACACTAGAGATTTTGCGTTGGGTAGAGAGAGAGGATGGGAATCAAACTCGGGGCGCTAGAGGCGCAGTTGCGCTAAATGTCGGAGCGCTAACCACAAGGATATTGGCACTGACTATGACACCATTTTCAAGAAAAAACAGAAAACTTTATATGCATCTTGGCCATTCATTTACACAACAGTGTTTTGGGGTCCTGAAAATGCAAACTTTTGAAAATGGGATTTAAAGTGCAAGTTTTTAAAACAATACCGTTACCATCTCTCAGTGTAAACTACAAAAATGTGAATTTGTGAAAAAGTTTAACGTGTTTAATCTATAGGCTGGTATAGTATTTCTTTACAAAGTGACATTGCCAACTACTGGCCTGGCATGCATAATACAGCTCTTTTTTTAGTTGTTTTTCACAGATCTGTGTGATCGGTTTGTACGCGAAAATGCGAAGGATTCTTTTTTCCGTTTAAAGTACATTGTTATCGTGTAAACATACCCTAATACAGGAGCACATCTCACACCTTCTGCTCTCCGTGTAGGCATACAGCATAACTGTACAATCCCATGCAGAAGTGAGTGGACAAGATTCAGCCATTTCTTTTTTTTTTAAGATTTTAGCTCTTTTTTTCAAGAAAGTAAAAAAACATTTGCTACCACGTTGGCTGTTGGCTGCTGTCTACTGGTTATTAAATCTAGCAGGTTTAAAGTGTCTCTTGCCGCAAATCCAATGACGCTAGTAGTGACGATTCTGTCTGACCAATCAGTGATCTGTAGTGTTTCACGTCACATTTTAGTACCGGTACGGTACGCTTGGAACCTCAACAGACCAGGTACCATTAAAAGCGACCCGAAGCGAGCCGTACCGTGCCGTACCATGCAGTGGAAAAGCACCACAAGTGAGTCGTACCGAACCGAACCGTACTGTACCATGCAGTGGAAAAGCGCCAAAGTGAGCCGTACCGAACCGTACCGTACTATGCAGTGGAAAAGCGCCATAAATGTGTTGGGTCCCACATATGGAACCTCTGGAAATAGTTTTGATGTTTTCAACTATCAATGAATTTTTAAAACAAACCCTGTAAAGTAAAATCATTGGCATTTCTGTATACATTTCTCTAACTATGTTCAGCTCTTAAATACTTCCCCATTTGCATTTTGTGAATAATTTATATAAAAATACTCTTTTAAATAAGATTTAAAATAAGATTTAAAATTCTTTAAAAAAAATAAGTGTGCTGATAACACAATTAAGCAGTGCTTTGAAAATTGATGTATAGATATTTCTTTTTATATTGTGTCTCTTTTGTCATTTTCTTGGTGCTTCTTAGAGGGGTGTTTCTGGATTATGATAAGGATGACGTGACGGCCCAGCCTAGGGAGTGGAAGAAATATGAGTTCCACTACGACAATGTGCTGTGGGCGTTTCTCACTCTTTTCACCGTTTCTACTGGAGAGGGGTGGCCCACGTAAGTCAGCAGATATGTCATTGTCCCTAATTACATTTATATTACAGATTTGAAGGTAGGATATATTGGTATACTTGGTGTATATAGTACCATCATTTGCTATTCAGTATGTTTTGCTGGGATTAGAAACCCATAAAAGCTTTTGTCCTCTTCAAACACTTCCCTTGTGTCTTCTGACCCCCTCAGTGGCCTTTTATTCTCTCACTTTAAAGGCCATAATCAGTTTGAAGTGGTGCTCTTTGAGGCTCTGTGATACTGGTAGAGCACAGCTCTCAGGAGGCCGAGTAGGCTGACATCCATGAATCAGCATCAGCCCAAACTCACTGCCAAACTCTTGAATGTGCTGGACTCGCCATTGTAATTGACTGTGATTTATTGAGTTGTTCACAAGCTTGTTGGGGTCAGTGTTCTTCCTCCCCTGGTGTGCAAGTCTGTTATCTTTCCTGCTCTCTTAGGTCTTAATCGTTTAATTAGATCATTTCAGTATATTAGTAATTGAAGGATGAATGATTTGTAAGAATGCTTCAGGTTAAGACCCATTGTCACAATCTGGAGGAACTCACTTGCTTAAAGCTGCAGTCCATAAGTTTTTTGGGTTAAAAATTATCCAAAATATTTTTTTGAGCAAGTACATAACCAGCCAGTGTTCAAAACTATCTGCTTGCTTTAGCTCGATTCAAAACAGTAAGCTTGTAATAATGTTTTAATTCCAGCGGTAATGGAGGATTTCCGCGGGAGATTCAAGCATGTCTTTGCGTCATTAAGTCACATCTGTACACATAAAGGAGGAGTCTTGTGCTAGTATAAGCTATGTTGCGTGTGAGGATGTTGGAGGTGGAGTTGTATAGCCTTTTCTCACAGCACTTGATATAATTAAACTTATCAATTTGATGGCATATCCAGAAAAGGTTCAAACGACAATTACCAGTGACAACTAGAGACCCGTTGTAAAATGCAAAAGACTTTGGACTGAGAGTAACCGGGCCATGCGAAAACAAGGATAAATATCTGAAGGGCTTTAAATGTAGTCACGCAATGCTGATGTGATGTTGTTAACATTAACAATTTGAGAACAAAGTATAATTTGCATGGTTTGATGTGATATGATAATCGATCGTTAGATTTAATCAGTGTGATTTACTGCAATGTTTTTTTCAGTCAGTTGGTCAGGAGAACAAAAGTGGATTTTACTTACTTGGTTCAGATAAAATTTTAGGGTGAAAAAAAATTCTTATGTTGATCATACTTCCAAAAAGTAGAATCTGTGATTGTGAATGTCAGTATCCACACCGCATGGTGACTGACAGCCGCACATTCTCCTCAAAACATTGGATTCATCTGCGCTGTGCCGTGCCGAGGTACAACTCACGTAAAGTTGATAATTCCGCGAATGACCGTAATTGCAGATTTCAAACAGAGATGTTATATCTGAACGTTAACGTTACCGTTATATGTTTATTACTTTGGCCGCACTCCTGATGAAAAAAAAAATCTGTTAATTTAATCAAACCTATCCAGTTAAAACTGTTATCTGTGTAATTATACTGTGATTTCATTGTCTCCAATTTGAGGGTAAAGTTAAACTATGTATGTCTGTCTTCCACAAGGCACTTTATCATCTTAAACATTAGAGTGTAATGATTTAATGTTGTCTTCGCACAGGGTTTTAAAGCACTCTGTAGACGCCACTTTTGAGGATCTGGGTCCCAGTCCAGGCTACCGCATTGAGATGTCCATTTTCTACGTGGTCTACTTTGTAGTCTTCCCCTTCTTCTTTGTCAACATTTTTGTGGCCTTGATAATCATCACATTCCAGGAACAGGGTGATAAGGCCTTGTCAGAGTGCAGTCTGGAGAAAAATGAGGTATGACTGAATAACATTCAGACATGGTCGCCCCACAAATCCACTCTATGTAACTCATCCTACACTGAAGACAAAATATAGCTATAAACTGGTACAAAATCCCAAAATAAAATAAAAAATTGTAATTAGGACGAATAATATTTTTCTATAATATCATGCAATATAATGTCATATAATATAATATATAATTTCCTAATTTCACTTGCAATTGGCAGGTGTGGTAAAATATTATTTGTCCTAATTATTATTTTTTTTTAATTATTTTTTTTTTTAGGTATAACTGTATCTGAGATAAAAAGGCTAAAGGCAAAATAGTAATATTGTCCATCATATTTTTAATAATGTCAAATACCAATTTTGTCTTCACTTTTTTATCTCGGGTGCAGTTATACCTAATAAAAATAAAATAAAGAAATTGTCATAAATTTTAATATAATATCATTTTACTGAAAATACGCATATTATTTATAAAATGTTTATTTTTAATTAATTCCATATTATTATTACAATTAACTTCTAATAGAAAATGTTTAATGGAAAGTAAAAAAAAAAAAATATGTATTTTCTTAGTTCAGATTTGAACAATTTATCAACAAAAAGAAAGTTACTTTTAGGCTGACAGTAAGAGATACAGAGACGAACATTAATCTTCCTCTTACAAACACTGGAGGAGTTTTATAGCGTTTAATGATGTGATACGGTACCTACAGTCAAGCCAGACATGGTAACAGGTAGGGAATTTTGACAGAATTAATGCATGTGCCTGCGGCGGACCACGCACATCTAAACACATGTTGAGAAACAGGTATTCATACAGTGACGCACAGTGTCTAAAGACACACACAGAGACAGCCAGTCCCATGGAAGAGCAGTCAGCAAGATGTTCCTGCCCCATTTCCTCTGAGGCCCCATTAGACGGGCCCAGTCGTCGGCAGAGCCTGTGCTGTTTCACTCTCTCCCTCTCCATATGCCAGCCAAACAATGACTCACAAGACCTCAGGAGAAGTCATTTATCATCAACATTCACAGCAAAGCAGCCAGAAAATATCAGCTCAATTACGAGTCTATTTTCTTGTTCTTCCACAGGTTAGACTATACCTTCCACAGTTGTTGTCACTGCTCTTTTTATGACATTTCTGATTAGTTAGGAAAATGTGACTTTAGCCTGATTCTGTAAGATAAAGATGTAAACAGTAGTTGTCTGTCTGTATTGCGAATGAATTCCTTTTTTACTGTTTCTCTTCTCAGAGAGCCTGCATCGACTTTGCTATCAATGCCAAACCGTTGACCCGATATATGCCACAGAACCAGCAGTCATTTCAGTACCGCTTGTGGAAGTTTGTGGTCTCTCCACCATTTGAGTACTCCATCATGATCATGATTGCTCTCAACACTGTGGTGCTCATGATGAAGGTCATTCTGTCTTTTTTTCATTCAGTAACACTAGAGTACTTGACAGCTATGAAATTTTCATTCATTTTGCACATTTCCTTTTTCTAACCATTTTGTGATTCATAAAGAGTATTTACGGTACCATTCAAAAGTCTGAGATCAGTACGTTTTTCACATTGAAAGTAGTAAGAAAGGTTTCTTGATCAGCAAATCATCGTATTGCATTTGACACTGCAGGCTGGAGTGATGTTCATTTGTAATATGTCACTATTTTTATTTTTACTCCATTTCTCCATTTGATCAAATAAATGCAGCCTTGGTGAGCATAGGAGACTTCTTTAAAACAATATATATATTTTAACTGACCTTAAGCTTTTGAACAGTGGTACTAATCTTTTCTGCTGTAATATGCAACATTTCTGCATCACAGTAGGGCAGATCTATAGATAAACACCACTGTGAATAAGAAAACTCAAAAGTAAACCAATCTTGGTAAATTATGGTTTTGTGTGTAAAATGTGCATATTTTTTAAATGAACAAGTAGGAAAACAAATGATACTCAAATAAATAAAACATTTCCCTTTGTCTTCTTATACCTGCAGTTCCATGGGGCGAATGATGCTTACGAAGCAATGCTCAAGTATCTCAACATTGTCTTCACTGCTCTCTTTTCAATGGAGTGTGTTCTCAAGATTATTGCTTTCGGCCCCTTGGTAAGTATCATCACTGATACCCTCAATAACATACTGTAATGCGCCTTGGTCCAAAAAGAGCTGAACCTAAAAGCTAGGAATATTTCACCTAAAAACAAACAGCTTTTGAGGAACAGATTCACTGAAAATCATTGTAGCTGGTCGAATGATGGTGCACTAATCCTTTGATTCACTGTAAAACATTCCTATGCTAGAGTGTGAAATTGTAAGCCTCTCCAACCTGTCCTTGAATTATCTCTAATTCTCTTCCTCACAGAATTACCTGAAAGACGCCTGGAATGTGTTTGACTTTGTGACTGTGCTGGGCAGCATCACTGACATCTTAGTCTCTGAGATTAAGGCAAGTGGGCGGCACTGAGCTGTGTTTGAGCTCTATTAGAGAAAGGTCTCAGAGTCAGAGCTAGACCAGCAGAGATAGGCTGAGAACATTGGAGATGATGGATAACATCACAGCTTTGGCTCTAGCTCAGGAACAGAAGGGAGATAGAGCTCTGTGTTGTTGTTTTCCAGATAAAATGACAGTAGTAGAGTAACTAAATCCATTTGGTAATGCTCACTTTGAAGAAATCGCTAGTTTGTGGCTTTGATTTGTGTTTTATGATGTTATGAAGTCTTACGTTGTATTATGCTGTATGTCTTGACGTCCTTGTCATTGTCAAAAGCTGCTACTGATGGTAATTGTGTGTTTGTTCTGTAACTATATTTGTGTGTGATGGCTGTTCTTGTTCTCCTGTGTTCCTTAAATGTCTTCACTCAAATCTTGGCTTGCTCCTGCCACGATTTAACATCTTCATGTATAGACAACGGTGAGTTGCTCTCTTGTCTTTGATCTTAGGTCTATTCCACCCTGCATGGAATGAATAAAACTTCCTATTGCAGACATATATGGCACAGGATAAGGTTCTCCCTTTTTAAAGCTTAAAATTTACTGAAGATAATGCAACATCGTTTTTCACAATCACCGCATGGTTGTCAGGTGAACATATAGTAAGTATGTCTTATTTGAAGTCATCAGGGGTCACTGCTGCTTACTGTGGATTGACCGTGACCAACACGTTATTGATCCAAGAACACACCTTATTTGACAAAATCACTAAAACATTCCCTAAAGAATCCTGAATAGACTGAATTCATTGTCAATTTAAAATGTCTCGATGCTTTAATGCAGGGATTTTTTTGTTGTCTGCTAGATCCCTTTGATCTAAAATATTTACTTGAAGAACCTCCTGAGATTTTTAATTAATATATAAACAAATTAACAACATGCTCACATATTCATGGTTGGTTAGTGTTCACAGAACATGAATTTAAATAAATAAATTTTGGATTTTTTTTTTTGTTTGTTTTGTTTTACAAGTGATTTATTTTGATTACTTTTATTTTAAATTATTTATTTTAGTTATATAAATTTTGTGATCTAATTATTAGCTAGTATCCATCACCTCTCAAACTCTTGCAGTTCCCTTATGAACCCCCAGGGGTTTGTAAACCACAGTTTGACTTAATTAAATTCAAACAATAAAAACTTCAACTCGATTACAGATTAAAATCAGGTTCAATGTGAAGAGATTTGAAGGGATATTCCAACAAATAATGAAAATTCTGTTATCACTTACTCACCCTCGTGTCAGAGCAGCGCCATAAGAAGTATGAAGGCAAACCTGATGTTATGAAGAGATATGAGGGTTGAAGTAAAGAGTGCAAATAAGGAGAAATTGATTTTCTAATTGAGAAACCCTGCATTCCCACAGGACCGTCTGCTGAATTTCAGTTTCCTGAGACTCTTCAGAGCAGCCAGACTAATCAAGCTCCTCCGGCAGGGATACACCATTCGCATCCTGCTCTGGACATTCGTCCAATCCTTTAAGGTAACTCGAAATAAACTGATTTGACAATAATTTTTGGAGATTTAGTTTTTTAAAGTACCAATTTCTTCATTTTTGTTTCCAGGCACTGCCTTATGTATGCCTTCTGATCGCCATGCTTTTTTTCATCTACGCCATCATTGGAATGCAGGTAGCTGTATAAAATAATTTCAGTGCTTCAGTGATTGTAATTAAAAGGTCATTGCAGTGCTGGAGTGTATCATAGGTTTTATCAATTAAAATATAGAATCTGTATTGTGTCTGAAGGATGTTCAATGTAACTGTTTTAAAACATAAATTTATTTAAGGTAACATTGTGATTCCAGGTGTTTGGGAACATTGATTTGAATGATGATACTGCCATCAATCGTCACAACAACTTTCGGACTTTCCTCCAAGCACTTATGCTGTTGTTCAGGTCTGCACACACCTATTAATCTTTACCTACGGCAATCAAATCCACCTGAGAATGCAGGAAATATTAGAGAGGCTTCTGGGGCTGTATAACAGAATCAAGGTCTGACAAATTCCAACAAAGATCAGATAGGATTATAGATTTGGAATGCTTCTTCTGTTGTACTGATTCTGAACACTATATTTAGCCTGATCACTATATTTGGACTTTGATTGAGATCAACATTAATAGCACGCATTAGGAATTTTGCGGAGAGCTGTATTTATAATCGATCTTTCATATTTAGAAAATATAAATGCATAAAGTATTAAAATAAAGGCCTAACTACAGCTGACCTAGTCTGATCTCATGTTATAGAGCTGCTAAAAAAGAGATTTAATTTCATGTATCATCTGAGAACTCTGAGATCTATTTAGGGCAATTTTCTTTTTGCATACTATATTTTGATTTTAGTGTTACCATTCAGAATCAAAGGATCCATCTGTCTGTCTGTCTGTCTGCGTCTGCCCATCCATCCATCCATCCATCCTCAGATAGATATATAGATAGATAGATAGATAGATAGATAGATAGATAGATAGATAGATAGATAGATAGATAGATAGATAGATAGATAGATAGATAGATAGATAGATAGATAGATAGATAGATAGATAGATAGATAGATAGATATTGTACTTTGTATCACTGTGTATACATCTCTCTGCTCTGTGTCATGCTCTTTCTCTCTCTGGTCTCCCCTTTTGGTCAAATTGAATTTTAAAGTACCATCTGGAGTATTCGCCATAATGCTTGAAAAACAACATATTCTAATGAAATTCATAAGTACATTTCCATCTTTCCCTTATGTTCATTACTTTGAAGCTTACTCTAGCTGAGCTGAGAGCCATGAGCAGACAGCACATCAGTGTGACAACAGTGTTATACATGAAATCTGGCTCAACTGTAATTTAAATATCAGCACTTCTCCCATCATCTGCAGTCTCTGTCACATTCTCTGACAGTCATTCAATCAGCTCCTCATCGTGTCTCTTGCAGGAGCGCCACTGGCGAAGCCTGGCACGAGATCATGCTGTCTTGTCTGAGTGAGCGCACCTGTGACGAAAAATCGGGCACACTTGGAAAGGAGTGCGGGAGTGACTTTGCCTACTTCTACTTTGTCTCCTTCATTTTCCTCTGCTCCTTCCTGGTCAGTGCTCAGAGTCATACCAGCCAAAACAGGCTCATCATTATTGTAGCATGTCATCACATCCTACTGCCACAAAGCTGCTTGATTGTTTATCCAAAAAAAAAAAAAAAAGCTGGGAATAGGGCTGGGAATCGCTGCAGACAAACTCTGCTACAATAATATGTCAGCAGTATGTAAGTAAAAGTTTGTAGTTTTTTATGCGTGGTTTGTGAAAAAAAAGTTGTCACTGAAATAAGGTCATAAACTTTTAAAAACACAAGACTTTTGAAAATTGTATCGCATAGCTTAGAGTATTTGCTCCAAAACTATGTGAATTTGAATGCATACTACAAACTCACATTCACAGCAAAGATAAAATATTTTATTGATTTTAATTTGTTATTTTGTCTTAGCACTGAAGACACAGCAGCCATGGACTATTTTTCAGACTGTGATTAATTGGAAAAATCAATGTTTTTACCCAGCCCTAATTTCCAATTAACCTCACACACCCCAATATGTTCAGATAAGTGTTCCTGCTCCGTGACCTACAGTGTCTTTTCTCCTGGCACTTTCTCCAGATGCTGAACCTGTTTGTGGCTGTCATTATGGACAACTTTGAATATCTGACGCGTGACTCCTCCATCCTGGGCCCTCACCACCTGGATGAGTTTATTCGAGTGTGGGCGGAGTATGACCCAGCCGCATGGTATGTTTCAGCCCGCACTCCCCCGCCAGATGGAGACCTACTCTTGTGATAAATATAGTAACTGAGTTTGGCGGTTGAGAGAAGGAGAATCACTCTGTTAGGACTCAAAGGCCTTCTCAGGTTAGACCACATAAATAAAAGAGAGAAATGCTGAATTTCCCCCCTAATTCTTTATGTGTGATTGAAGACCTCCCACGCAATGCCCATAAGAACTGTGCTCTGGATGTGAATGGGATCATGTACTCCTATCCGCATCTTGTCCACAACACAAATATGCTCTCCAAGCTTTCTTCATGTATGTGTCATGTTTTGCTTGTTCTTTCCGCAGCGGACGGATTTCCTATAAGGATATGTACAATTTGTTGCGAATTATCTCGCCCCCCCTTGGCTTAGGGAAGAACTGCCCTAATAGGGTAGCATACAAGGTTTGCAACCCAAGCAACTTCTTCCACTCGTGTGGCCTCTGTGTGCAAACGCCCAGAGACCCAAACTTGAATGGCTGTGCTCAGATGACTTGCCTACACACAAGCACTTGCCCCACCAGATTTGACTGGCTTTGGTTAATGATGCTGGATGGGAAACAAAGATTTCAAGGCCACATATGAATTGGACACCTCCTTTACTTGGGTATAATTGAGTAGTTTTCATATTGACTGAATTCAAGGTTTTGCCACTAAACTTACATTTCTATCTTAACCATTCAAATGAAATACAACAGAAAAGAAACTGGCGTTGAAACCTTTGTTTCTGTGCACTTGAAAGTGGAAACTCCCCCTGATGTCTCAGCATGCAGATGCAGACATCTTCCAAACAATGCAGCCATTCTGTCACCATCCACTCCTCGTGTCATCTCACTCACCTCTTCCATCCCTCCTTATCAGGGATCAACTCTCTGACCTCTAATCTTTGGGATCCATCACTGACCCTACCAGGCCAGGATGGCATCCCTGTCCATGACATTCTTGGAAATCTAATTAACAAAAGATTTCTGTTTTTTGTCCTCTGTTGTTGGTTTTGTCTCATTTTGTCTGGTTTGGTTTACTTTCTGCCCCTCTTGTTTCTCTTCCCGTCTCTCTAACTCCCCATCCTTTTCTTTATTTATTTTTCCCCCCCGTTGTCTGCACTGTGAAGTGGCCGTATCAAGTACCTCGATATGTATGAGATGCTGCTCCACATGTCCCCACCTTTAGGTTTGGGAAAGAAATGCCCTCCACGAATCGCCTACAAGGTAGCTCAACTTCACATGCCCCCCCACTCCCCCCTGCTCGTACTGTCTTCCCATTGGCTTATTCTTCAGCCAATCTCTGTGCTCTTGCAGTGTTTCCCTTCGTTATTTGTTGAACTGTTTATTTTTTTCTTCCCACACTCTAATCTTTTTGGTGTAGTTCCTCCCTCCCCCTCTTTCTATTTATTCAAGAGTTCCCCTCCACTTCCTGTGTCATTTAGGGATGGTCACAGATTAATTATGAGTATGACTGCAGAACTTTAGTCCATTAGTCCATAAAGTTTAATTACAATTTAGGCTCATTGGAAATACGTGTCTGTGGCAACATTTCACTGGAAAGTATGTTCAGTATTTAACAGATGAACATAGATATGGAAACGTTTTATTGCATTGCTTGCTGTACTATCTCAGCAGCTTGGGAATGAAAAGTCGGATGAGTGGCGTTAAAAGTGCTGTACCACCAGGTTACCTTCCGAGCAAGTTTACTGTGTCAAAAAAGACATACAAGAGCTGGTTATTTGATACGTAAAAATGTACTATTTTACAAATCATGCATTATGATAAAAGTGTTTTGAGGTCATAACGGTATTGGGCAACGAACCTCATGAAAAAAAATTCTTTATTACTCGGAAATCTGCACCATAATCATAATCTATGTGAAAATGAAGCAGATTTGATGGTGTTTTACTGCCTCTAGTGGTCATCTCAGCTGGAAACTGCTGTGTAATTGTATGTTTTGAATTTTGGTAGAGGTAGAGGCACGTATTTCCAGTCAGCCTTGGTTGTTTAATTATAATAATGAAAATAAGAGAAACTTAAATCTCAATTGTATCTATGGTCATACTTCATATGTATAACATTTACCCCAAAAGTTGCATTGTGTAAGGGTTTGTGCACGACATTACAAAAAATAATCATATGCATTATAAATACAAAATATTTTATGTAAACTCAATTTACATAAAAACAATGTGGCCTAGTGCTCTTTTTGCGGGTTTCTGTGTCTTTGGGATTCACTTAAGGGCCCCAAATTTAGCTGAAATACTTCTTTTAGAGCCCTTAGAATAGGAAAGGACCCCCCTCTCACCCTTGTTTTCATGGAGCAGTGTGTGTGGTACCTAAGTTGCTTTTAGTCATGAGAACTTTGCACTTGAACTCTCTCTTCCTCTCTTGACGGTCTTTCACTTGTATTCTCCCTGTCTCGCTTGTGCTGTCTATGTCTCATCCACTTGACCATTTCCTCGATTTCTTTTCTTTCTCTTGTAGCCTTCTCTCTTTTTTCTTTCTCTGCAAAATGTGAGAATGTATGTCTGTGTGTGAGACTATCCATTCATTCTGATCTGTTTCTTTTTGCACTGCTACTGCTAGTAGATGTATGTTCTATTTGCTCAGGGGAGCTCAACTCTTCACAATGAATCACTCTAAACCACATTGTACATCCCATGATACAAAAGAGATGTCATGTTTAAAGGTGCACTCAGATATTTTCCTCTTTAAAAAGTTAAGCATACAGAAATGAATAGTACTTTTGAAAAATATGTTTAAAATCATGTGAACTGACATTTATAAAAAGCTGTTTTAGTTTACATGGGGTGGGTTACCTCGATGTCGGCCATTTTGAGTCAGATGATCAGCCAAATACTACTTATTTTATCTTTATAACTCCCCTATTATTGGATAATTTTGCTCAGAGAATAAATTATTAAAGACTACAAATACATTGTAACTGAAATATTTAAGTGATGCTTCATCCACACCTCTAGGTGTCAGTATACAGTAAGTCCAAGAAAACTGCCACATTTTCCTGTGCGATATAAGCAAACAAATGAGTGCACCTTTAAAGATAAAGTGTATATTTTTTGAGACTCTAAACTCGAGGCACCAAACTAAAATGACACAATTGACCGTTGTTTTTTTTTAAAACTATTTTTACAATGGTATTATCGGGATGATCCAGTTCAAAGTTGCTGGTGTGATAGCATTATTTAAACTCCAAAAAAACACGGCTGAAAAGCAGCTATTTGCTGAACTTTTATTGATTAGTAACCCCCAGAGTCGAGCTCCCATGTCCTCTGAAACCCCTCATGGTTATGTGTACATGCTTTTCTTCACTCTCAAGTTGGTTTCGGTTTATCACCAGTGCACTTTGGTTGCAGATCGTAGCCTATAGCAGTGAATGTGAATGTTCGATTCTGTATGTTCGTATGCTCTTTGTGAACAAAACTGTTTGTGTGCTTGAAACGCTAAGATTAGAACAGCATTCTGCATTACTGAATTACCAAAAGGATCCAGTATATTTGTAGCTTGATTCATAGAATAAATGACCTGAATCAAAAAAAAAGAAAAAAAAGGATATGAAATATGAAGAGTCTAATCTCAGACACACACAAACTGTTTTGTTGGAGTTTTTGGGGTGTTGGGATGCTGATTTTGAGAAGTGTTTTAAACCACTAATGAACCTCATGGCTCCTCTTAGCGGCTGGTGAAAATGAACATGCCCATTGCAGATGACAACAGTGTGCACTTCACCTCTACCCTGATGGCTCTCATCCGCACTGCTCTGGAGATCAAACTGGCATCAGGTCAGTCTGGTACACATTTAATTGTCTAAATGATTGTGTAATTGTTGTAGAAATTAGCATCCAGATAATTGTTCCACCTTCCCTCTCCTTTGAAAGAGTCTGTCTTTCTCTTTTCCATATAACTCCAAATGTGATTAGTGCCTGATGGCGAAATGTACTCACTTCTTCAGTGTGATCTGTTCCGTTGCTTCTGCTAGTGCCATTTCCACGTATCAGAGCAATGTGTGTGGGATGGTGTGTGTAGCATCTGTTGTGTCTCTTTGAATGTTTGGCACTGGATGGGTTCTTCTAAATTCTTTCAAAGAAATTCCTCAGCAAAGCTGTTTTGTCTTACAATACATTGATCTAAATTCACTGAACTTAAATAATTCATCCTCCTTCTTACTTTATGAAATGAAAAGAGTTTTTCTAGCAACACTAAATTCTCCCAAAGCAACAGTAAATTAACTGAACATAATAATTGATTAATCATAATTATAATAATATTACAGGTACAAAAAAAATGTTGAGGGGTGAAGAGAATTATTTTTGAAAATAATTGTCAACAACACAATAATTAGACAGAACATAGTTGTGTAATGTATATGTAGTCGTATTCATGAATTATTAATCTCTCCTCAGGCATGGTGGCCCAACGTCTGTCAGATGCTGAACTGAAGAAGGAGCTCTCTACAGTCTGGCCAAACCTGTCTCAGAAGACTATGGACCTGCTGGTCACTCCACACAAACGTAAACCCATTATGAATCATCACCCAGGAGATTCTTTCTTACTTTTGCCATGAAAATACTCTCCACACTTGTATCCACACATCACAAGACTAACACTGACTTACTGTATGAATGACCCAAACAGAACGCAGGCATAGTAATTCTGCACACATCTCCAAACACCACTAATACACAGGGACCTCTAGTGGTCACCAGTAGAACTTTAAAAGATGCATTTGTCTCTTTTGCAGCCAATGAGCTTACAGTGGGGAAGGTGTATGCGGCTCTTATGATCTTTGACTATTACAAGCAGAACAGAGCCAAAAGACTTCAGATGCAGCAACAGCAGCAGAAGGAACAGGCAGGACATGGATCTCAGGTGATACATATTAACATATTAAAGTCATCAAACTATAATTAGAACCATTATATTGAAAGTTATATAGTGTCTATGTAGATCATACACTCAGAAAAAAACATTACAAAAGCTGTCACTGGGGCTGTACCTTTTCAAAAGGTAAACTTTTGTCCATTTTAGGTGCTAATATGTACCATTAAGGTACCAATATGCAGCCTTTAGGTACAAAAGTGTACCTTTTGAAAAGGTACAGCCCCAGTGACAGCTTTTGTACCTTTTTTTCTGAGAGTGTATAGTGTCTAAAATTCCAAGAGTAAGCCTTTTTTTTTTTAAGATCCTGAGAAACATAAATTCAAGACTGTCTAATCTTCCAACTGGTAGTGAGTTTATTATCTAAGCTCTTTGTATTTATAACAATGTCTTTTTATTCTCTCTGTTTGAAGAATAAAGTCAGTGCTCTCTTAGAGCCCATTCTTCCTCTAACTCACATTCAAGATCAGGCCATGAACAGTGTAGATTTGGCCTCAGAGTTCAAAGCTCAGACCATACCAGACCCAGCTCCACCACGCTCCACCACGCTCAATAACGGACGCACACAGTGAGCATGCCATCCCTCCTGCATACACATACGGTACACACTTAAATTAGCCTGTTTGTCATGACAAGTGTTTCTACTCTAACATGTTCTTTCCTCTGTCAAATTCCGTGCCCAGTCATGATAACCCTATGAAAGGATCTTCATCCTGGGCCTCAGAGAAGTCCAAGGAGGTCCAACGGTCTAAACGACGACCAATGTCCAGAGGTCAATCAGAGGAAGCCTCAAATGCAAACACTGCCCAGGTGCCGTAAATAACATCAATGACTCTCTCTGTCTTTCTTTGGTGCGTATTCAATCATTTATTGTGTGTGTGCATGTAATAGGAGTCAGTAGAAATGAAGAAGATGGAGAACAGTGCCAACACCGCAACCTCTGGCGGCCTTGAGGGCCAAGGACGTGCGGTATCCATGCCAAAACTCAACGCAGAGATGCAGGTATTCTATTGGGTGCAGGTTTTGTAGTCAAACCTCTCCCTGACTTGGTTCTTGTATGTTTTTTAGAGAAATGTATTTATACTCATACCGCAAGAATTCTACATACGTATACATCCTTTACACCTCTTATAGTTTAATACATAATCTTACTCCTGTTTTTTTTTTTAGAACAAACACGTTGATATATTGTTTCATCCCGAGTCTAATGAAAATTGGAAATTTGTCCTATTTCAGGGCTCAGGGGAAGTAAAACAATACAATTAGTCATTGATAGGTTGCCAGATCTGTGCCCTGGATCATTTTATTTTTTGGCTTGTTCTGGCTAAGAGGAAGTGAACTTTCAGAATACGTATGCTCTCAAGAAAGAGATTACTTTTTGGGGACTTTGAGATGGATTTAAAAATCCATCTTGATTTGAATACATTTCTCGTTTGTTATTTGAAATGTAATTTGCACAGAACTGGATGAAAGGCTAATGGGTTTTACTAATGGATTGTGTTGTTTTAAGACCTCAGCTTTTAGTTTGCTTAATGTTAAAGTATGTCAGAACAACAGCATCATTGGAAAAATAAATCTAAAATCATCCAAGTATGAAATTCACATTCCATTTGGAGTCTGAAAAAGACAATCCATCCATTAAGACTCATTAAGATATTCCTGCTATCAAATCACACCTATCCCACACCTCTCCAGTGCTAATGGGCTGCTCAGGCTCACTGAGTGCCTCTGTTTCACTTCCAAATTTGATTCCCATCCAGAACCAAATCTCTTTAAAGTGCTGGACTAACCGATAAAAGACATTAGATGCTGAATGTAATGTTTCAGCACCTGCTAATATGGCCAAATCCCTCTGATTTCTGTGGGGGAAATCCCATCTCCCCTGGCACCCGGCCATGTCCAGTCCTTCTGCTAGCTGGATGTAAGGAGCCAAAATAACAGCCTCAACCACAGATTAATTTCGACCACAACCCAGAATCTCTGCAAAACCGTGACATGTGCAAGATCTGTAAAGACTTTATGATTGACAAGTGTGTCTTGTCTTGTGTTTGTCATGGATGGATAGAAGAGGATGGATGATATACAGTAATGATTCCCAAAGGGGCTGCTTCAAATAAAAATAAATCAGTGCATGAAAAATAACACACCATTTTTTAAGCATTCAGAACAATATTTTGACAGTCCATTTACAAATGTGGGTTTTCAGTTTCGGTTTATTCAAAGGTGAAGTGTATAATAGAGATCTAACACTCTCAAATGGTGTTACTGTAGCTTTTGCACATCAGTTTCCACCATTGCGAAGTCAAAGGTATTTTCATGTTTTATTCGAAATCAGATACATAAAATACATCAGTAATACCTCACTCTTGATTTTTTTTAAGCTTTTACGTGTCTTGTAAAAGACAGTTGCTTAGTGGTGGTGACACTGAATTCAGAATGTTGTAGTTTGTTTATAGCCTAACTTTTGATTTCTGACAATTGTACTGTATTTAGACTACAAATTCATAAAAAACTTTTTTTTGTTTTTTTGTACCAACTTCTCTTGCTAGTGTCACTAAATATTGCATAAATATGGATTATTTTCAAACATAATTATGTTTACATTATCATTATTTTGAAATTCCACTACTGGTGCAAAAAAGGCACACTTCACCTTTAAGTGACTAAAATTAGTGACGAATTAGAACAGAACTGAAAAAAATGAGCTTTATTGTGTTTCTTTACAGTCTCTTTTCTATTATCTTTTTTTCATGTCTTCTCTGTCATTGGGCTTCATTTTGTCCTCTGACGGCTTCATCAGAGGAGTCATTCCCGCCATTCTCCTGGGACTTTACTGGAAGTATGATCAACTTTTAAAATATTAAAAGGTTTTTTATAGGAATCTATTCTTGACTTGAGCAAGTCATGAGATAAGAATCCAAGGTGAACTTTGTAATGTTTTTGTAAAGTCACATGTCTGTTTGTCCTCAGTGTCAGTAAGAATATGAAGATCAGCAGCCTATTGTACTGCAAAACATAAAATCAAAGGAAGTCTAGTAATAGTTCAAGAGTCAGTGACCTTTGATCATTTCAGACAGATTAAGAGGCACAGTGTTAAAACGCACCTGTGGATGGATGGGAGCATAAATTGAGGGTATAATCCCAAAATGAGTGTTTCCTCTAATGGGATTAGCTCAGCTGCTACAGATGTTACACTGCCTCTGATTCTTTGATACCATAATGATCCCTTAGATCCATACTGCGGTTTGGAGTTCATCCTTGTTTTGATGCAAATGGAGGTTTAGCGTACAAGACAATGTTATAATAGGCAATTTCAGTACAGCATTCCTTGTAATATTCCAAGATAACAATGTCCAAAAGCATTCATCTCACTTCATCCAACCACCTTGTTTTCTTTCTCAGCCCATTCCCGACTCCCCAATGAGACGCTCTGCATCCACTTTTGCACCGCAGCGCCCTCAGGAGGTGAATATGAAGGACTACACTTTGGAGAAACCTGTTCAAGAACGACATCATCACCATCACCATCATCATCGGTGCCATCATCGCAGGGAAAGAGACAAGAAACAGAGATCTCTCGACAGGTCGCCTACTGGCCAGCACAAAGCTACGGGTAAATACACTTTCACTGCCTTTAGATAAAAAGTAGAAGTAGTAGTAGTTAAAAAATAACAACTAGCTGCATGAAGCAAAGCTGCACAATATTTTCGTCTACAGATCTCTTTGAGATATTTTGTTGCGTTGGTTCAGTTTATCCTGAACCCAGACGGGACTCGGTTGTGTTGAGGATCGGTTAAGTGCAAAGGCAGAGCCGGGTGTGAGCGTCCGGCCGCAGCTGGCCTCTATTAGCCAGATAAAAGGGGCTGACAGACGTGCAGGCCCATGACCTGCTAATTTATGGTTACCTCTCAGCAGGCCAATCGAGAACAGGGAAGTAAATTCTTAGACAGTCAGGTTTTTGACTAGAGTCTGTTCCAAGAATGTGAAATCCAGAGGAGAAAGGAGACTGTAAGAGATGGATCTGCCACAGCAGGGCTCAATAGTTCAAGAAAACCTGTTGTTTTGTTTAATTTTCTCCTTTAATTTTCTTTAAAAAAAAAAGTAGGGGGTCAAAAATCCCAACCTTTTAATTTCAGCGATGATAATTCTACTTGAAATGAAAATAAGAGCACCCTTTTATCAGTTGTTAAAAAAATAAGTATTTATTATTTTTTTTTTTTTTTGCAGATATTGCAGTGTGTTCTGCTGTCCACACAAAACATTATGTTGATTTGATTTGTTAAATATTTCAAAAAATCTAGCCTGAGAAGCAAAATTATGATATTAAAACAGAGAAAGAAATGTTTTTCTTACCTCACTTGGCAAAAACAATATTTAAAGGTACAATATGCAGGATTTTTGCCGCCAGGGGTTGCTAACCTCTTACAGGCGTATATTGATGACATATATTCCACATTAAGCATAAGTATGGATCTTGTCGTCAAACTGATGGATCTTTTATGTTCATCATTATTTTTTTGTTCATCGTTTAAAAAATATATTAAAAATATCTAACAGGAAAAGCAAAATTATGGTAATATTACACTTATTTCCTGAGAATATATATTTGAATAAATTTTGTTTTTTTATCTTAATTTGGCAAATAATATTTTATAGTGAATCTTAATAATAAAAAAAATAATTAAATGTTTAAAAATCCTACACACTTTTGCCTAAATTTCTGTTGGGTGTGATAAAAGTACTGATTGTTGCAGTGCAAGTTTTAATGGATTGCCTTTCTTTCCCTCATATTTTTGTTTGGTTCTCAGACACAACAGCTGACCCCGTAGAGGAGAGGGCACATGACCGGGGTCGTTCCCACGAGAGGAAACACCATTCGTCTTCGGCAGAAAAGCAGCGGTATTACTCATGTGATCGCTATGGCAGTCGGGAACACTGTCCCAGCAAGTGTGCCGTGGCAAGCTGTGCCACCTCGCCCAGTGAGGCCGAGGAGGGCAATCTCAACAAGCAGGTGGGACGGGGGGTGTCGAAACAGGAAAGGGACATGTGTTAAAAGGAAAGGTTGGGTCAGGGGTTAGAGACTGGAGAATGATCAGGATATAAATGAAAGTATCATAAATAATGATGAAGGCTGAAATCTGTGGTAAGTGCATTAGAAAGTAATGAAGATAATGTACCAGTCAAACACAAGTTAAGCTCTATGGACAGCATCTGTGTCCCTCAATATAGAAAAACAAACAAGAAAATCATTTTACAGCTGTACACTTACAATGGAAGCCAATGAGCAAGAAATTTTTAAAATAACACGGTTTTGAAACACATTTGTAAGACTTATACACAATAACATGGAACTAATATGATGAAACTTGGTCTGTAACTCGTATTATGACCTTATAACCTGATATTTTAATTACTGTCTACTGTCTATGTATTTCCGCTAAATGATCAGTGTTATGTGAGTTTCCATTTTAGGATTCTCTCAAACGTGGTAGTAGCAAACACTTTTTGTCATGTTAATTACAGTTGATCACAACTAATTATATTATATACTGTAAGAATAACATAGTATATTTGATATATTATTAATCCTAGTAAACCTTCATCATGCCTTTCAATTGCATTAATGTGAAATTGTTTGTTTTTTACTGACTGAGGGGCCAGTTTAATTATTGTCTGTAGAAGTAGAGCTCAATTTGTATTGAACCTTACAAAGGTTACAAGTTTTGACCTTACAATTTATTCGTTATAGCTAGAAGAGCAACAAAGTGCAGTAGGCCATGAAACTATTTGCATTACAAACCTGTGTGTTTATGATTATGCTAATAATTTTAAATAATTTTAATAACATTTTTCTATACAAATTAAGCAGGATAACATACTGTTTTTGTAGTGCAGGTGTTTTAACATACTGTAGCTTAACTAACTGTAAATGGCTGACACCAGAAAACTCACACGTAGCCACACCCACTCTTATTAAAAATAAGGTGGATAGTGAGCATTGATACATACTGTAAGATTTTCAGTTAATTAGGTGAATTAGCATTTATATCTTTTTAATTGAAAAAAAAAAACAACAACTTTGCATTATTTTTAGAAGAGCGAAGTGTTAGAAGAGCTTCTAACCATTCCTACTCAAGCCATGAGGATAACAAGATATTATAGGATATTTTTTATTATAAAATTTTGCATGTTGTCATATAAACCTCATAACTGAAATGTTTATCTTCTCTACGGCCGTAGTGCAACCACTCATAGGCTTTCACTTCTCTTTCCACTTTTCCTTCACACCATTTCTCTGTGCTTTTGTCCATCTTGTCTTTCTTTGTCTTGACTGTCATCTTCACTTCCTCCCTTGTTTTTGTCTTTCATTTTTGTCCTATTCATCTTCCATATTTTTCTGCTCTTGTCCAACATATTACTTTTCCTTCCTTCCTTCTTTGGCTCCTGGTCCCTGTCTAACCTTTTGGGCATTTTCCACCTCATTATTTTATTGTTTTGATTTTGCCTGTTTAATTTTCATCTAGGGCAGTGGGTGGGCTAAGGGGAGCCCGGTGTTGTTGACCTCAGGGGCGAGCACTCCAAGCCGTGGGCGCAGACAGCTGCCCCAGGTCCCCCTTACTCCTCGTCCCTCCGTGGCCTACAGGACTGCCAACTCTTCCCCCGTGCACTTTCTGGGCACACAGGCCGGCTTGCTTCCCCCTAGTCCCGGCAGGCTGAGCCGCGGTCTGTCCGAGCACAACGGCCTATTATACAGCGGCTCCATCTCCAGCTCGCCGGCCCCCGTCAGTCGCATTAACTCAGAACCCTTCTTGGGCCCCCCGGACCACCCTGCCGGCCTCCAGCCCGATACCTACGCTGTCTTCCAAGAGGATCCGAGCCCTCAGACGGGCCGTTCTGCCCAGATCGTGGCGATTCCCCCACCTCCCCAACAGCAGTTCCGCGGGGTTCCCAACGGATACCACTTCACCACGGGCCCCGGAACTAGCAGAGGACGAGCGCGGCAGTACTACCCAATGGCAGAGGTGGACGACTGGTGCTAGCATGGCTTTTATCTACACGACACATACGGATGATGCTTTTGTTTTCGATTCATGATGAGTTTTATCATCTCTTATTTTGCGGGTGGTGTTAAATGCAGTAATACATGTATTTGTTTTTTCAATATCCAGGGGATAAAACATACATGTACGCTTACAAAGCAGCAGATGTGAGATAAAAAAAAGGCGCCAACCCAACCGACTTTGATGTATTCCAGTCAGGCTAAATAGTTTGTGGGCGTGGTCTCTTTACAAACACATGAGATGTGAAAACACATGGTCTTTTTCTTAATCTTTACCTTTCTAAAGGCAACAGATGCCAAAACGTGCTTGTGTAACTTGGGAAAAGAGTGACCCACTTCTACAAATGTAGACCACAACGGGCCTCTAGCCAGTTTTCTTCAAATCAAGCCTCTGAGACTCACTCTAAATGCAAATATCCCCTTGAAAATGTTACCTTGCCATTATAGGTGTAACTTTTATGAAGCGAAACCTTTACAAGAAGTGGCTGGAAATGCAAGCAACAACGTTTTTTTTTTTTTTTTTTTTTACAAAACGCACAATAGCAGTGCCCCCTATCGCCATTTAAGAGAATTACATGTCATTTCACACTGTTGTAAAAAAGCAGATTGTTCGTTATGCTGCTGATGACCATTCCTCGCACATATCACTATGTGTGAAACCTTTGACAACCATAATGTACTTTGTTTTATATCAAATTGTTGTTGTACATATTTTATCTATACATTATGTGCTTTTTGTATTGTAAAGACGAACGGTTTTACTCAAATTGCTTACGGCTTCACCATACTGTCAGGTCTACCGATTCTTCTTGACTGCTCCAGATGTTATTTACAAAGTGCCTAACCTTTTGAATATATTGTAGTAGTGATGCAACCTCAGCTTTTTTTAATGCATCAACACTTGATAGAGTGAACTGAACAAGCTCTAAGGGTTAAAAGGAACTACAAGGTGTTACGATCGCAGGCCTTAATTCTGAAGCAAAGACACAGTACCTTTGAATTCATAATAGGTTTTTGAATGGAAATTACAGTATGATTGTTTGTTTGTTTTTATTCTCGTCTCATTTTTTGTACTATCATTTTAGTACTAATGGAATATTGAAAATTCCATTAACAAAAGCATATATTAGTATGGAGTAACTATTAAAAAAAAACTGCAGTAGTTGTGTATTTGTCCTGACAGGGACTTTATAACCACAGTTATAAAATTGCATGTTAAAAAAAAAATAGTCTTCAATTCTTGATTGACCGTGGTTACGAAACCAATATTTACGGTGTACATTTCCTGTCCTGATGAAGATGCTCAGACTGCATTGCTGTTTGCCTTCTCTGTTTGGTCTTTTACGGTTAAATGAGAGGACTGAGAACCAACGAACTGTCACAAAAGAGTTAGCTTTGCTCATGTAGCAGATTTCCCGATGTGAGCGCGTGTTGTGTTGCGTTGAGTCGGGGTCCTGGCACCGGTACAGTAGGCTGATCTGTGTTAAGTTTAAACTTTCCCCCTCATGGCACTCCTCCAAGCACCCCCAGACACACATACACACTCACAGCTTTCATTCTGCCGCCGTTCCCCAGCTGCTTGCTCTATAGAAATATGGCCGACTCCTTTTATCATGCTGGTAACACGAGAGGAATATTTAGCCACCTGAATGCCGAGGGTGTGGCAGTCTAAAAGAACGGAAATTAAAACCTCTGTATTGGGACACTATACTGTCTAGGATAATTGAATGTGTTCCACGTTAATATACATGAGTGCATTAGATGCTTGGAGAATTGTTTGGCTAATCAGGTGATTCTTGGCCACCGATGTGTCAGGACTTTTGCTGACAGTGAATGTTCTTTCCTTATTCTTTTTTTAAAACATGTATTTTCTTTACGTAGGGCTATGCAACGAGATGACACTTTGAAAAAATATACTTCATTAATTTTGTAGCTTTACCTGCTGGGAAATCCAGATTCAGGCTTTAGCATGATAGTGACCAAATCTTCCTTCTTTTTTTTATTAAAAAAAAAAATGCAAAAATGTATGAACAAGTATATTTTAGAATGCATAAAGGCACAATGATTAAAGAGCAGACATCAGAATAAAATAATAATAATGATTATATATATATATATATATATATATATAAACATAAAATCGGTATGTGCATGCAACAGAGATGTCAAGTTTGTCAGGGGAAAAAAGAAAAATGTTGTTTCAAATCTACAGTCTGAACAACTGCTATTTTTCTACTCTGCTGTGAGACTGAAGGATAAAGGGTTAAAGGATGTGCTGACATTTTGCTGATATTGTTATGAGTTGTTGCATTGTTCATGTGTAACTATTGAACAATTCTTTGCACTCCCAGCTCATCCATTGATGTCTTTCGGCATGTTGCCAGAGTGGATCGAGACTGTGCTTCAATCAAAAAAACAAAACAAACAAACAAACAAACATTTCTTCAGTTTCTCTATGATTTGGAAAACATCATACCTATCAAACCTTTCATAATTTATTGCCAAAATCTGAAATGCTATTTCCCCCTGTACATCAACCAAGCTTAAATATGGCTGTTCCCAGAAAGGTTAATGTTTGCATGGTCTTCAAATGTATGTGCATGTTGAAAACCCCATGGTTTATCTTCGTACCTTTTGATACAATGTATTCATTTTTGTTTTGATTTTTTAAATGACATTTGATATGAAATTAGGGGATTTGTTGAAATAAAAAAAAAATAATAATTGTTGAAACATTTATAAATAAAGGAAACAGTATTGAACTATGTTGACCGCTCCATCCATACGTGCAACTCCTTTATTTGAATTTTGCTGTTGACTAGTTTGTTGCCTGATTTCTTTTCCATGTCCAGACTTTGAAATCTGCAGTTGTTTCTACTATAACATTTTGTTTGAGTTTATGTCATTACATAAAAAAAAAAGAAAGAAAAAAAAAAAAACTCAAATGTTGGTTTATTAGATGTCTATTGTCCTGGAAATCCTCATGTTACGTTTTAACTACACTCATAGCAACAATCTCCTTAAAGATGAAGATTTGTACAGCAGCATGTGTTTTTCTTTTGATTGATGACGTTACAGTCGTAGCCTACAGATTGATCAAAGCATGAAACTACAGGAGAGGCAAGGTGAATCAGGGTTCCACCTGTCCGGAGGATTTCTGGGATCTGATTGACTGGTTCGTGTAGTGTGGGCGGAGTTTAATAGGATGATTGGGAAGAGTGCACTTTGCAGCGAGAGCAAGACTTCTAGAAGTAGACTGATAACAGATATGTCGCTCAGTAGCCGACTTCTGCAAACTTTCCAACACCTACACATAAGATATTAGGCTGTAATTTATTGCATTGATTTTTTTTTTCCCGCCTCAGCATTTTCAACATCTTACTGCTCTTTGAGAACTGCATTGGAAGAACACTGGTTTCCAAAGATGTGGTTCATTTTATCATTTTTTGCACTGGTTAAAGCTTTACATGCAGATTTCTCTGAAACGGGATCTGGTGCTCCGGACTCGGGTAAGAACAGAACGGAAACACTTCACCTGTCGTTGCGTGTAGTGTAAACAAAACATTTAGCTTTCTCATATCACATAATTAGTTGACGCTGTTTTAATGTAATTTAAAATTAGATTAAGGGGCATTCACCTTACTAACTGACATACTTTACTTTTTATTAACTGATTTTGACAACCTAAAATTAACTTATAGGTGGTGAAAAAAACAGACTTCTGTTAATGGTGATTTCTTCGCTCATAATGCAAAATATGCTCTTATGCACAATCGGTCCTTGTATAGTTTTTTGACATTGTTGATAATTTCAATATTACATTTTAACTGTTTGCATTCTCCAGTGTAGTACTATCCACATTATCCCGAGGGGGCGATGTAGTAACGCTTATAAATGTTGCTATTCTCAATTGTTGCTTACATTAACATGTTTGGTCGTGTTGAAGCTAAATCACTTGGCATTAAAATATACTATTACACACTAGACTATTTCAAACAAAAATAATATTTTTGACATTTGTACACTATGTTGTTGGTAAAGCTCATGGATTGTCCTGTCAACAGCTGTTGAACATATTTCTTTGTGAAAGCCATAACCACATTCAAGTTCTTTAAATTTTTCCAGAAATCTGCTCCACAGTCTTATACCACCATACAATTTGTGCTTAAAAACGTCCATATGTGAAAGGAATCTGATTTGGTTTTTCCAAATGAGCTTGTGTTAGCCTGCTGTTTCTCATGGGCCCTATTTCAGCCACCTGTCTTCTCAATGGCTGGAGATTGGCTCATTACAGATAATCTGGGGATTATTGGAGCGAGTCAGGTCTGCACAATCTATGTGATCACAGTGCCCTGTACAAGTTTTCAATAAGTTGTGCCATTGATTAGTCTGTGTATGTCTGTGATTATATAATGAATGTGTTGCTTTTCAATCACTAGGCCTCATAAAAATGTGTCAAAGCTCTATCACTGCAACATATATTCAAATTCAGAGGGATATATTAGATTCATACAGATACAGGAGATGCTTTTGTTTTTTTTTTAAGCCCTGCGTTACATAATTGAAGTGTTCAGAGATGATTGAGAATGGTCAGGTCTCTGTATTATTGTTTTTTAGAACATGTTCTAGTTTTACTTGAAATTTGGAACACATTTAGCTTTTATTTGGTCATGTGTTCCACTTTGATCTGGTCTGACTTTCAGAATGAGCACTGCTCATTGAGCAGATGTCTTTTTAAGACCCGGGTCTGATCATAGTACTGTCTTGTCTAAATAGGCAGAATAATGTATCTTGTCATTTTATTGACTTTTTGGCAAGGATCTTCAACAGGAGGTCAAATACTGTCTGATCTCAAACTATGGAAAAAATAAATAAATAAAAATCCAATAGGTTCAATTTGTCCAATATGTTGAACTTCTACCAAATCTGAATAAGTATTTTAGTATTTAATTCCCTCTCATATTAAAATAAAAATGTTTGGGCTGATAAGATTGTCTCTTCTGCTCACCAAGACTGCATTTGTTTTATCAAATATACAGTTAGAAATAGTAATATTGTGAAATATTATTACAATTTAAAATAACTATGTTCTATTTTAATAGATTTTAAAATGGCAAAGCTGAATTTTCTTCAGTCACATGATCCTTAGAAATAATTATAATCCTGATTATGGTGCTCAAACATTTATTATTATTATCAATATTGAAAACAGTTGTGCTGCTTAATATTTTTGTGCAATCTTTAATATTTTTTTTCTTTAAATAGAATGTTCAGGAACAGCATTTTTGTTATGTATCTACTGCCATTTTTGATCAATTTAACTAATTCTTGCTGAATAAAAGTATACATTAAAAAAAATCTGACCCCAAATGTTGAATGGTATACGTTATACTCCCATTGAAAATGATTAGACAAAGAACCACAGGGTAAAGAAAAAGGTCATAATATTGTTCTAAACATTTTTCCTCAAACACTTTTTACTGTATTGTAATATCTCTCAGCCAGTATTAGCCAGCATGTCCCACTCAATCATTACAGTGAGAACATCAGCTGTGTGCATGATGTCACAGACAGTGTTAATAGATGGATTGCCTGTCAAATGCGAGGTTATGGTCTGTTTGCTTTGAACACAATGCTTTCTTTCTTTTCATTTTGACTGTAAATCAAAGCTCTGGTACGTCTGTCTCTCTTGAGGTGGCTTCAGGCAGGGAGCCATTGTGGCATACATAATGAATGTTGTCCCTGATTGATAACCAAGGCTTTTGGTGAGCAGCCAGGCTGAATCAAGCCCCCTAAACCAGTCCGTAGCATTTCTGTACAGTAAGGACATTGCAGGCTGGTAATCTGGGCTGCAGCCATGCAGACTAGACCTAATCTGGACAGTGTTACTCTTATCACATCACATCAGGAAGAAGTAGAGAGCTGAATCTGTGCCTTAGTAAAATGTGCACATGATTTCACTTAGCTATATGTTTTTAAATGATGAGAGATTTCTAGATTTTATCGATTAGAGTCGATCCAGATTTTAATTAGAGGTTCTGATTTGTAGCTTTGCAGTACTCTGAGTTGCTTTCTTGAAACACAAAACAATGTGATTTAAAGAATTTTAACCCACTTGATGTGAAATATATCTACATTAAAGACAACTAACTTTGTGTGTTCTGACCCACAACTGTTACAGTACGTTATTCACACCAGTATTTTGTATAAATTCGCTATAAATATTCAGTTCTAAAATCATTAATGTACAGGAAGTATTTAGTTCCTATTAATTTCCTTCAGAGGCATGAACAAATCTTAAATGAAGAGCCTTGAACTCTCTCTCATGGTGAAAGCACGGGATTGCAAAGACATTGAATATGTGGGAGTGACACACAGAGTTTATGGTATGGAAGGGCTATACGTTATTGCTAAAAATCAATCTCTCAATGGTGAAAATGTTTAGACAGTACTAGGTGTGTTGCAGTACTAGGGTCTAGGACAGTGGGACATTAAACCTTGGTTCTTCAAGCAAAAAAACAAACAAACAAAAAAAAAAACAGACAGAAATCTTATTTTTTTAGTTGTTTTAGCTTATTTGGTGTTATTTAAAATTATTTTAGGTCATCTTGTTAAGGACCACTGGTCTAGGAAAGTGTAAGGTTTAATTGTAAGGTTTCATTCTTAAAAGTTTGCATGAAGTGGAAGACTTTTCTTCCCATTTGTGAAGTAGGTCCATTCAGCTTGAGCTATTCTCATTATGAGATACATGCCCTCCTCCATCCCCAGCTCCCCCTCTCTTCCAGCCAGAACTTGGCCTTCTGATATTCCTCTTCTAATCAGACTCATTTTTTTTAACTACATTGCACTTAAAATGGTTGAACACTAAATATATCTGCAATACATTTATGTTGGTTGTGTTCTGTTTACCATAAAGGGAGTTTATCTGCTCTCCCTGCTCTTATCCATGCTAGCATGAATGGTTAGAGAGTTTTTGCCCAGAACAGAACCATACCGCCAATCCAAACTGTATGCTTCGTCAATCATCTTTGAATAAAGTCGCGATGAAACTGAAGAAATACACACATGGCACCCTTTAGCGTCAATATGAGACACGGGGCAGAAGGCGCCTCCTAGTGGTCTAACCCTAACCCTACCCTAAACCTACCATAACCGAAGCGTGTTATATTGACACTAAAGGGTGCCATGTGCGTTGGATGTCTACGCTTTGGCAAAAGTGTCAGTATATGATGCCTTGGGATGAGAATGCGTTGGTCATTTCACTGGAAGATATGACGTTTTGATTAAAAATTAAGAATTTAAATAAAAAATTTTGGATGGATGGATGAATTGTTCACAATAAGATCTATAACAGAAATTTGAATAGGGTGGAATTTCTTCTGTAGTCTCAGAGGTGCTTTGCTGCCTCACAGGTCAGTATAGCGATGATGTCACATTTCTCTAAGATCATTTGAAATGTTACGGTAAGTGTTGCGAGATGTTGCCAACATCCCTATTAATATAAATGTCAAAATTGTGTGGGTCCCGCTTATTTTTTTTCCTTCCACTTACCATGGATCGGAATCCTGTGGGCGCCCCTGGACGTTTCTGACGCCAGTCATTCGGCTCTCAAAACACTGATTTGATTAGTGAGAAATTCACTCTTAGAGCAACATTTGGCAGAATTTCAGTGTGCGGTTGATTTGTGGCTGGTGGACAGGAACAGGCCTGTTAACTCTGTAAGGAAAGTCAGAGTGGATAATGACGCTCTTTGGGGTTTCTTGGCACTGTCTTTCC